AACGCAACCCAGCTAAATAGATAAATATTTTTTTAAAAAAAGACTCATATATATATAGATAGATAGATAGATAGATAGATAGATAGACGCAGAAAAATACTGAAATATATGCAAATGAATCTCAAAAAGTTTGTGGGAAAGTCCTATCATGAAAAAAACATGCACATTGTTTATTATTTTCTGGATCCAGTTAGTCTGTTTTTCATTCCATTATCCCATGACTCTAGTATCTTGGAAAACAAAGCTCAGGCAAAAAATCATTTGTCTCAGGTAGTCAGTGTTCTTTGTCACAGGAAATTGAAGCCGTTTGTCATTTGAAGAAAGGAAACCAAACACTTATCTGCCTAAGCCATGCTGTTTATGGAAGATTCAGCACTGGGCCAAGCCGCGCAGGAGGCGCCTTCACAGCCCCAGCCCTGCCTGCTGCAATTTCCCTCCACACCTACTTTTCTTCCATTTTTCTCCCCCTCAGTGGAATCTGCTGTTTGTAGCTTTGGACTTTGTTTTGCGTTGTTCTTTTTAAGTATCTCAAGACAATTAGGACCAAAATTTAGTGCCCCAAAACAGTGTCCTTCCTGTAACTTAGGCGAGTCTATTTCTAGGAATAGGCTGATCATGGAAAACAATTCAAACATGTTCATCATGTATATTATTTTTAGGAGTTAAAAACCAGCACATTACTTGATGTGCAATAGTAGGGAAATGGTTAAGGCCAACCCACTCAAAATCTTGTGCGCGCATTAAAAAACCATGGGACTGGAAAGTGGATTATTGTCTCTCCTCGGATCAAAAGCAAACACATTCTTTCTAAGAAATTGTTTAAGGATTATTTTAATTTTGTGCTATTAATACTTGTGTTATTATTTTTAAAGCACATTTTAAAAAGGAAAGGAGAGACAGAAATTCCCATCTGCTGACTCACTCCCCAAATGGCTGCAGTGGCCAGAGCTGAGCCAATCCAAAGCCAGGAGCCAGTAGCTCTTCAGGTCTCCCATGTGGGTGCAGTGGCTCAAGTCCTTGGGCCAACGTCTGCTGCTTTCCTAAGCCATAAGCAGGAAGATGGATCAAAACTGAAGCATCTGGGATGCAAACTGGCACTCATCTGGGATGCTGGTGCTGCAAAGCAGAGGACCAGCCTGTTGAGCCACAGTTCTGGCCCCCAAGAATATTTATGAATATTTATTTACTTATGGAAGGCAGAACAATAGGAGCCAGCATTGTGGTGTAGCAGGTGAAGTCACCTCCTGCGAATCTCATAAGGACACCAGTTCATGTTGTTCCATTTGTTCCGCTTCCAATCCAGCTCCCTGATGGTGGCCTGGGAAAACAACTGAAGATGGCCCAAGTATCTGGGCCGCTACCATCCTTGTGGGAGACCTGGATGAAGCACCTGGCTCCTGGCTGTGGCCTGATCATTGCAACTATTTGGGAAGTTTCTTTCTCTGTCACTTTGCCTTTCAAAGCAATACATCTTTAATTTCAATAAAAACAAAACAAAACAAAGGTAGAGCAATAGAGCATGTGACAGTTAGATCTTCTGTCTGCTGGTTCACTCCCTACATAGCCATAAAAGCCAGGCAAGGACCAGGCAGAAGGCAGGAGTTGTGAACTTGTGTGGGTCTCTCATGTAGATGGCAACATCTGTTGTTTTCCCCGTGCATAATCAGAGATGCAGCACCCCAAAATCAGAACAGTACTTCAATGTAAAGTGGTGGTGTCACAAGCAGTGGCTTTACACCTGTAGCACTAACTGCCAGGCCAGTCTCCTTTACAAGAGGTAGAGCAAGGCATCTTGTGACAAGGGACAGAGAATGCACATTTGTGTCTCCTCTGATTCGTCTCTTTCCCCCCACCCCTCTCCCTCTCTGTATCCTTATAAAGCCACCTGTGTAATCCTGGTCCCCACCCGAGTCCCCAGCTGTGGACACCTCAGGAGATTCAGGTTTCTGTGCCCCCCCTCCCTTCAGATGCAGACTGAATGTCAACATGGGAGCCCCTGAGGGATGCACAGATCCAGTGCACACCCCAGCATGTGTCAGGATCTGCCCCCTGCCACTCCCACTGCCATGGCATTACAGAATGATGTCTAGGAGCCCTCCTCTCTCAGGCCCCTAGAATCAGGACACCACCGTGAACCAGCATCAGGCTCCTGGGAAATCACAACAAAACAGCTCAGAATCCACTGACCACCCAGGTGGGAGGGTGCTGGTGAGAGGGTGGGAGGGATAGAGGGATGGGGATGGGATCAAGACAAGGTGGATTTCCTGTGGTTTACATTGGGATTTTCTGAGAGGTGATTCTAGTTCAGAGTTTGTGAGCAAATGTAGGTCCTTTAGAACTAGCCTAAGGGTAAAGGGGGAGTCATTCTGGCTCTGGAATCAGACAGCAATGGAGCAGACCAGTCAGCCAGCTTCAGGCTCCTTTGTCTGTCTGTCTGTCTGTCTGTCTCTGTATCTGTCTCCATCCCTAGTGGTACCTGTTTCCCTTTCATCCCCCAAGGGGTGGGGAGTCCCAGCCCCAGTACCCTCAAACTCACCAGTGACTTCAGACACACTCAAGAGTTCCCAGGCAGGGAGAGGCCTTCGGTGCTTTGTCCGTGGTGCAGGTAAAGTCCTGGGCAAGGACTGTGGTTGGCCCTGTTGGAGTCACGAGCTCAGCTATAGGACTATCCACTGGGGTGGCCAGGAGGTGTGTCAGACATGAGTGGCATGCCCACCTGTGTGCCAGGGAGTACATGCCCACCCCTGTGCCATCCTGTAGCCAGCAGTCCTACACAATCACAAGCTTGGGGAGGAAGGAGCAGCACTGTTACTGAGAGACTCATTCCCTTGGGCTGTGGGAAAAGCTACTGACCATGCAGCCTTGTGTTCCAATCAACCCCACTCTAATCCAGATGACACCTTGTGTGAATTAGAAAAATTAGTCTCTTGTCTTGACCTTTTACTACATTCTTCCAGAAAAATCCTCATCTTAAACATACTAATATGAAGACTCCAAATGGGATTGGTGTCCAGGATTGTGCAGTGCACAGCCCATACAACTGAATCTTCATGTGTGGTAATTCCCTTTAATTGCCCCACTCCTCCTTTCATTAGCGTTGTTACTCAGTAGAGCTTTGGCCAGTGGTGAGGCAGAAATCAAAAAGGCAGAGCTATAAATGGAAATCAGAATCAAGTCCCTGGGTGGGACTCTCCCATTCCACCCCAGAGTGCTTGGACCTGAGTCCTGCCTGTGCACACCCCAGGAGGCAGCAGGTGATGGCTCAGGTCTTGGTTAGCTGTCACCCACATGGGAGACCCGGATGAAGGCCCTGGCTGCTGGATATCATGGCACCTAGGAAGTACACCAGTATACTAGAGGTTCTCCCAGCCCTTGAAATAAGAAAAATTTTTAAAAGTGGGAGTCAATTGCTTCCCACCCCTGCTCCTACAGCCCTGATTCCCAAACGTGCTCAGGGGGCAGGTGCTTGGAAATTGTACATGCAACGGAATACTTATTTCTGTGGCTGAACTAGGAACAGTTTAATCAGCAGGCACTAGCACTGCTGTTTATTTGTGAGGAATGAACTTCTCGGGGGGAAGTACTTATCAATGAGTATGTGAAGCTAATTGAGATTTTTCTTTCATTTTTTTAATACAAACTCAGTTTGTTGCATGTGAACTCTAAGAGCAAAGAGGGTGACAGAAGCTAAAAAGTTTACATTGTCAAAAACACTTAAATGTGAAATCCCATCTGATAGCTTATTTTGCTTTAGGCTAATTGCCAAGCGAATTCCCAGCAACCACTGTCAGAGTACACAAATACGACATAAAATCCCAAAGTTGCAAATGGGGCTGTGGCTGTGGCCATCCAGTAACCTCCCTGCAGGCAGCCAGCTGCTGTGTGCCCTAGACTGTACTCACCATCAGCACTGTCAACAACAGCACCGCGTTCCCCACCTCCTCACTCCTCCCACCCTCACAAACAGCAGGTGTCAGAAGTGAAGCACCAGTCAGAGCAGTAGCAAACTTTATTCCTGTGTGTGGGACATTTTGATATGCGTTTACAAATTCTTTGACCCATTTTTCTTCAAGAGATGGAGTCTAAATACCCTGCCCATGAACGTGGCCTGGATTTGGTGTTGGCCTCTATCCATGCACTGTGGCAGAAGCAATGCTCTGTGCTCCTGGGGCTGGGTCACGTGTTCTCCATCTCTCTCTTCAGATCACTTTAGAGAACTTCAGTCATCCTGAGGTGGAGACCTCCCACCAGGCAGCATGTGGACAGCCCCATACTGGGAGGAACCTAGGCCTCCCTCCAATGACCAGCTTGCCCTCCAGATCCACCAGCCTCAGTCAAGTTAGCCGGTGCCTGCAGCCCTGGTCCATAGCTTGAGAATCTCTTGACTGACCCAGTGGCAGAACTGGCAGAGCCACTGCTGAAAGCTTGGATGCAGAGACTCAGAGAACAAATGTTCCAGTGTTGCTACTGAACACCAGATAGCCAGTAATTATCTGACAGAAGGGGAGGTATAGCTTTGAGAACCTGTGACAGACTGGGTACATTGATTTAATTTCCAATGCCCAGGTTGTGGTTAGGGACTTGGGCTCTGGACACCAAGTCTTCTTGCTACCACAATGATTGTCATGCCAATATAGCCTTAGATTTTCCTGAGCACAAAATTTCTTAATTCCTGTCGTAGAAATGGGATAGCAGCACCAAATTGTGCATATAAAATCTTTTCTATGGGTGGCACGCGGGGGTCGGGGGGACCTTTATAAGCAGAACGATCAAACAGCATATTGAATCCCCTTAGCTTTCAGAGAAGAGAGGTTGGGCAAGACTGGCTTGACTGTGTCTACCAGGTCAGTTTCTGTAGAAGGAGCCTGTGCAGAAGATGTTCTATGTTTAAAGGCTGACGAGGCAGGCCACAAGTAGACCACTAACAATAGAGATGGGATCTCTTCCACTTTCATTTCTTACCACCTTGGCTGGGACTGCTTATGAATATCACACACTTGAATACAAGACAATATATTTTCTTAACTAAGTCAGAAGCAGATTAGGATATAACCCACGGGCAGCCACAACGGAAGGGGTCACTCTGTGTGCTCCTCCTCGGGGGCTTCACTTTCTCCTTCGGCAGCCGACTCCGTGTGCGCCATCTCACCTGGGCCTTCACTCACCATGCTGTGGGGAACAGAACAGGCCACTAGTACCTCTCTGCTCACCTCAACTGCTCCCGTTAGATAATAGGGTGAAGGCAGTGCATCATTACCCTGCATTCTTTTGGAACATCTCATCTTCCTCAGAGGACTCCTTGTCATGGAGCTTCCGAGCCATCTCTTTCTGGCGTGCAGCATTAAGAGGTTTGTACATATCCCTTAGCCAGAGTGGCCACCTCAGCCAGAAAAAGCCCTCCTGGGAAAGGGGAGGAAAATGTTAATCTCACTTCCCCGCTGCTTCCTCCAGCCACACCTGCATCCCCTCAGAATTACCTGGGTCTCATTGTCCGTGAACTTCCTAGACGAATGTTCAAAAAAGCCCCTGTAGGAAAACACATGCACAAGACAAGCAGAGACTGGTGCCATTCCCCACCTCACCCGGTGTGCATCTCTGGTGTGCCCGGGACAGAATGTAGCCTTCCTCCGCAGTTACCACAAAGCAAAATCACCTCAGACCTGGGATCTGGGCTTCTGGGAACTCTCCGTGTCTGCCTGAAGGTGCCGCTGTGGCTAAGGACCAACTCTGACCATTGCTTTGTGTGAGGTTGTCAGCCCAACAACTGCCTTCCCCAAGTGCCCTTGTGCAGTGAGCGACTGCACAGCCACATGGGGCACATGCACTGTCTCCCTCCTGAAGTATGACTCCAGCCTCCCCCCTAGACTGAATCTCACATGCCTCCCTCCCCTGGGGATGAGGGAGAAGATGCCTCTGTGTGCATAGGCCTTGACCCCTGTAAACTGCATCACATCAGGCAGGGCCTGAGTCCAAAAGCAAAGTTACCTAATTCATACAGCCTCACACTGCAGGTGTCACTGATGGGAGAGTGAGTGGTGAAATCAGATAAAGGATTCAGCTAGCACTGACACCAAGATACCCCTTATGAATCCAAGCATTACAGAAAAGAGTGTGTTGTTTCAGCCACTGTTTATGTCCACAAACCATGTGCGTACTCATTTCTGACAGAACATGTAGCACACAACCCAAATCCCTGTAAGCCAGAGAAGCCCCAGCTGGGAAAGAACCTTCCTTTCTACTAGAGGTGTGACCATGGGGCAAGATACTGTCCTTTCCTCCTTCTGTTTCCTCTCCTAAAAGGAAGAGATACACTACTATCTGAAGGTCTCTCCAGTTAAAGCTCTAAGAGGTTTGGTGAGAGGACTCGAGAAAGGGGGTCTAAGACCAGTGGGAGGAGAAGGAAGTGTTCCTGCAGCCTGAGGAAGGACTGTGCATGCTCCTTTCCAGCAGCCTGGAAGGAGACCAGCCACACTCTCCCCCTCACCTGACCAGTGCCATACAGCCTCCCCAGCCCTTGTCTGAAGGCCTAGGTCTGGCCAGATGGCTGAAAACAGCAGGGATGGCACAGCTGGTGCTGCTCCCCAGCCCCTGCATCCCAGAAGAACTGGGGACAGCAGAGGTGCCATGGTGGTACTGTCTACCTCAGCTGTGACTGGGTACCAGCTTGGGTGACCGAGCTTGCTCCTGCCTCTGGCGATTTCCTCATTATATAATAAGTATTCTAAGTTCTCCTCCTCTAATCCCAAAATTCTGATTTAAAAGTTGCAGGCTGGTACTTACCTTGGATAGTTTTCTATATCATCCTCTGCTGCTCTCCTACAAGCACGAGGGTAATTCTGTTTTGGAAGAAGACACCATCATTGTTATCCATCACAATCTCTGAATCCTTTACATTCCTTTAAGTCTTTCTACGCATTGAGATGAAAACTTATTTGAGGATAGGAATTCTATGCTGTTAATAGCTCTTTGAGTCTTCCCTGCACCTAGTTTAGAGTCATGCATACATTTAGGACTTAATACATTTCTTGGCTGCTTTAGATAATAGAAACAGATAATTCTCAAGGAAAAAAGGAAACATCCTTAATTTGATAAAAGTATGATTAGAAACCTAAACAAAAGTGTTGTTTCAAAGTCAAGATCAAGAATGGGGTGTTTATTAGGATTGCTATTATTCACCATTTTTGAGCAGGCCCCAGTCAGTGCAATAGGGAAATAAATGGGTGTGAGTATTGCAAAAACACTCATTTGCATGTGAAATGATGGCCAGCCTGAAAAGCCCAAGAGAAGCAACAAACCTGGTGAAAAGTAATATGAGAGTTGAGAGAAGTGGCCAGGCACCAAGTCAAGAGATCAGTACACACACCATAGCAGCTTTCCTGGGCACTGCCAATCAGAAAGCTACTTGGGAAGAAGAGATAATGAATCTGCGAAAACCCACAAACCCTGAGGTGGTGGGATTTGTCCATCTCCTTCAGAGGCAAGGTTTGGCCACTGAAATGATTTCACATCTGCTCTTATGCAGTGTTAGGATGGGCTCTGCCCGTGCTGAGTCTCCTCATCTTTTCTGTACTGTTGTCACCATCCTTCTGTGGCTGGCATGTCTGCATTTAGACACAGTCATACATTCAACCAAGTGTTGTTGGAGGCTTATAGAAGCCCTCAGATGTTTAAATACCTTTGCTGTGCTGCATTATAGGTTGAGCTTGGCACCTCGATTTTTAAAAATGTGTCATGTTTCTAAGTTCTCAGGGAAGAGGAAACACCTCTTTATGGCCTCATGGATAGGTGGTAAATCTGACAGAAAGTCTAGGTCCAAGAGGACTGGAGGAATCAAGGCACCCAGTGAAATAAAGGCATTTGAGATGGGCAAAGGCACAGGTGAAGTAGGAAGGAGCATAGGTTGGCTGAGGTATGATGAGGGGCTACAATGACAGTCGAAAAGGTGGATATAGTTAGGCTGGCTTAATAGGGTAGAGTAAAGATTAAACTACTCCCAATATTCAAGCACATTATATAACATTAAAAAAGATAAATAGAGGCTTGCTCCCAGAATGGGGTATGGGTTTAGAACAGCCTGATGCAGAATTCAACTGCCATACGTTAACTGAACCTATTTAGACAGGACCTTATACAGTGGAGCAGAAGGATGCTATGGGGGTCTAATGACTCTAATATTTCTGTCTTCTGGCAGTGGCCTGAGGACAGTGACATTTCTTGAGGGAGGAAACTGTATATCATTTCAGCAGTGAGGGAATAAAATCAGTGTTAGAATATAAGGCATTGTGATTACATCAAGTCGTTGATATAGCTTTGACTTGGAGAAATTTTGTTATTACATTAATGCTGGCCTTTTTAATGGCTTATTTATTTGAAAGGCAGAGTGAGGAGATGTGGGGGAGACAGGGAGAGAGAGAGAGAGAAAGAGAGAGAGAGACTGACTTCTATTCACTGGCTCACTCCCCAAATGGCTTCAACAGCTAGAGTTCAGTGCGACAGAAGCTAGGAGGCAAGAACTACTTCCAGGTCTCCTGCATGGTGGCAGGAGTGCAAGTGCTTGGGCCATCAGCTGCTGCCCTCCCAGAAGCGTTGTCGAGAAGTTGGATTGAAAACAGAGTAGCCAGGACTTGGATTAGCACTTTGACATGGGATACGGGTCCCTCAAGAAGTGGCTTAGCCCACTGCACCACAGTGCCTGCCCTTTCTTAAAGAAAATATTGGCTTTCTTATCAAAATTGTCTGATGACTTATTCCCTTGACTTCAACTGCACGGAGATCTCCTGGCAGAGAGGTCCTTTCAGAAATCTCTGGTAAATACATTTCAGTAAAAGAACAAAGCACATCTGAGTTTTAGTTACTGAAAAAGTATGTGGACAACGGTCCAGTTCTTTGGTGTATCAGGCTGAGCCTTCATCTTTGGTCCTGACATCTTCTATGGGTGCTGCTTTGAGTTCCAGCTGCCCACCTCCAATCCAGCTCACAGTTACTGGCATGGAAAAGCAAGTCTTTGGGTACCTACAGCTGCATGCTTTGCCTGAAGGAAAGCCCATGCTCCTAGCCTCAGACCAGCCTAGCTCAGGCTATTGGGACCATTTGGGGAGTAAACCAGCAGATCGAAGATCTCTGTCTCTCTCTTTCTCTCTTTCTGTGCCTCCCTGCTTATAACTCTACCTTTCAAATAAAGGAAACCTTAAAAGGAGGAGGAGGAGGAGTGGGGAGAAGAAGAAAAAGAAGAGGAGAAGAAGCAGGAGGAAGATGTGGACAAGTGGGCAAGTGGCTTTGCTTTTCAGGTTGTAGCCTCTGGGTAAATTGCAAAGACAGGGAGGGTTCTGGAAACCTGAATTAACTATTGTGCTTACCTCAATAAAAAAGAAAATGATAGCGAAGACCACCACTATTGAAACCACAGATAGCACCAAGATGAGTTTTTTGTTATAGCCGTATCCTGGAACCTCCTCCTCTGTGAGCTAACAAAAAGAACAATTTAGAAAAACAAGATTTAGAAATGTAAGGTATTAACTATTCTCAATTCTATTCTTCCTGGTAACTGGCTTATAGGATCTTAAAGGCCATGCCAAACTAAGGCATTATATAATATTATTACACATTTTCTTCTACAGTTTATTTGTCCTGATGTTAGATCTGCTTCACTCTCTGTAGGAGCAAAGTGGGGAGTTACCATCATGGCCAAAGTTACGTGCCCACGACACGATATGGACTAGGAGCCCCTGTTCTTCCTGCTTGCTGCTTCAATGGCACTTCCTAAAGGACAGGAAAGGGCAGGTCTCCTATCTCAGCACCTGTCCTCACCTCACTTGACTCAGTCGTTTTTGCATCACTCTGAGCTTCTAGGCTCTCATTGATGTAGTTCTCCATTTTCCATTGGTCTGTATCCCATTCTGCCTTGGCCAGCTTTACTTCCTGCTGCTCACTGAGGAGCTTCATGAGGAGGCCCGTTCTGGAGATGAGCTTGGCACAGCACAGTTGCACATAGGGCTCAGAGCAGTCCATTTTCAGAGTCCTGATAACATATGAAATGAGCTTTCTCACGTCATTGTTGGGGATGAGGGACCGTAGTTGCTGGTTTAGCTGAAGTTCAGACTCATCCCTTGAGGATGTCTGCAAGGGGTAAGTGATGCCTGTGGGCGGGGAGGGGATGTTCGTGCCCGTTTTGGGGTACTCCTGTTGCCTTTTGCTTGTCTGCTTAGCGGTCAGCATGGAGTTGAGTGTAGTCCTAGGGGAGCCTGCCACTGAAGGATGCCCCTGCGTTGTGTCATCAAGGGGCATATCTTCTGGCAGAACCATGTCATGTGCCAAAGAGTTTCCTAAGTCATCTTCTGCAGTATTGTTGTCTTCAGAAACACCTTCTGTAACAGATACTGGATGAGCAATTACCTCCACAGAAGGACTTCCCTGAGAACTCAGGTCTGGAGAAGATGGGGAAGGCTCTTGGGGAGGGGAGTTGATGAGACTCCGCAGTGCAAGGAATGGAGGCCCTCTTACTGACATCTTGGCGCTGAGGGGAGTTTTCCTCCTGAATGCTTGCCTGAGTTTGGCCTTGGGTGTTCTGAAGACAGGATGAGGATACATTTTATGTAAATGGTAATTCACCCTAGAATATGAGCTGGGTTCTGCTGCCTCTGTCTTTTTTGCGCTAGCCTTTGTGTCTTCTAAAGTAAGCATGGTGTAGGTTAAGTCTTTTTCTTTGTTTCTGCCCTCAGGGAGGGACTTTGCACGGGCTGCAGCAGTTGGCCTGCCCATGATGTACTGCTTTAGGGAAGAGGTGGCCTTGGCGTTGTGCTCTTCTGTGAGTGGGGGCTCTGGGTAGAAGGAGTTGGCCACCAGCTTCCAGGGCGTCTGGACCACATGAAGCTCCTCCTGCTCCTTGGCTCCTGTGCTCCCCAGCCGGCCCTCCACAAGGGGGCGCACTCTCTGTCTCCTGATTGTCTCAAGCTGCTGCCTTTTTCTTAGGCCCTTTGGCCCCTTGATGACTTTTTTCACTCTTTGTAATCTTTGCCTTGTGCTTGGGGTGGGCGCCAGGTGGTGCTGCTGTGAGTGGGCCATTTCCAGTTTCTTTAGAAATATGTGGCGTTTAAATTTGGGATCTAACAAGACAGGCTGTATTTGCATGGCAGTGTTTTCTCTTTGTTTAATCTCATCAACTTTTTCTTGGATTTTTGCATATAATATATTTTGCAGAAAGCGCAGCCTCCTCAACTTACTTTTGTAAGCTGAATTCTTGTATATTGGTTTAAGAGAGGGGCTCCTTTTCTTGGTTTTCAGGAAACCAACGAATTTATCTCTATCACGTACTTTTGAAAAAAGTGGTGTAATGAATGGCAATAGCGTTGACTTTATATCTCCTAGATTGCCATCTGACAAATAAGGCAGTATATAATTTAGTGCACTAATGATTTCGCTTTCATCTTTAAAGTCTAGCATCTCGTTCGCAAAGTCTGGAACATTCAAATTGAGTGTTTGTGACTCTTGCGCCTCTGGCTCAATAATCAGTTCAGTGCTAGTGTTCCTCTTCCGGGCCTGCAGTGCCTTCAGGAACATTCCTTTTGGATTCCTTATAAAAGCTTCTTCAACTGTTAAAAAGGAGACAGTGCTTTTGAGAACATGACCCTGATGGAACAGCTTTATGTCAGTGTACAGTCATCTATCCCCAACAGTTAAAAGTCACCAATATGTGGGTGCCATGTACAGAGGAAAAGTAACCCAAATATAAGCCCATGAGATGGCAGCAACAACAGGAGAGAGTTGTTTGAAAGAGTAACCCTCAGAAGAGTCCATGGTGTAGAAAAGCAGTAGCTGTATCCCCAGTGGCCAACTGCCCAGTGCCCAGTAAAAGCCCAAGGCTGGGAGACGGTCTCCATGCAGCTGGCCCCTGTGTGGAAGTGCCTGCCTCACCGACACATTCTGCACCGTCCTGCCTCAGACACCCAGGGAGCACAAGGCTTCCTCTCCCCCTCTCCAGCAACCTTGCCTTCTTGCTGCTGTCAACAGGTGACCATGGCCAGACACATTCATGTGAGGGGACTGAGGATATAGATGCTAAAACAGGGGCCTACTCTTCATCTGGATGTGTCCTTTTCCACCAAGGCACCAGTTGCTGGTCCCTGCTCAATGTTTCCTAGTGCTCACCACAAAGGATTCCACTCAGAGAAAAACACTACTACATCCACCCTGGTTCTTTAAATCTGGGCAGGTGATGCAGGTGGAGTGATTTGTAGGTTGCCAGGTGGTAGGCATACACAGAATGCTCAGGGAGCTCTCTAGGGGGCAGTAGTAGTATTTGGGTCAACACTGTTCTAGGCCCTAAAATGCAGGCAGAAATAGAAGCTGCTTTTGTAGATGCCTGTTTCTGCCTTCACTTCTAGTATTTCCAGCTTGATTTAGGGATGCCCTCAAGCTTCCAAGTGCAGGAAGGTCATGTGTGCTGTTGTGTGGCTGGGCTTCTCCCCCAGGCCCTGCAGTGAGAGTGAGAGGAGGAAGCAGGAATCACGGGGAAATGTTGTGGGGCCAGTGAAGAGCTAGCAGAGAGGAGTGGAGGCTGGACAGTACTACCCTGCCCTGGCTGACCTGCTGTGGGACCTGCAGAAGCTAAGGCTGGCCGTCACACTACCAACAGCCAGCCCCCATGCAGAACACCACCCATTGGGCACCAGCCAGAATGCTTCACTGTGCCCCCTGACCTGCCTTCTGAATGGTGAGAACCACAAGTCACAAAAAGTTGCACACGTAGAAATAGCAATAGGTGGAAACACCCAGCAGGGTTGCAGGCTGTATCCTGTGATGACCTTTAGATCATTCTAAAAATGTCACTAGAATAACATTAATCATGGCCAGCATTCTTGCTCCCAGGACACACCTGATGCAATGACACTCTCAAGATTTCCCGAAAGGGGCACAGCAATGGGTGGTCCTCAAGTCCCAGCTCAGGCTCCATGTCCTCTGAATACTCAACAGGCTCCTCGCTGATATCATACCCAACACCAAGGAGCATGAAAGGATGGCCCAAGCCTTGTTGGGGATTCATTCTCAAGATCGCTCACTTTCATTTCTGGCACTTACTTCTTGACTGTAAATTTTACTTTTGTTTAAGAAAATATTGCTTTCCTGCTTTCATCCACATTTCTTCCTTGAATTCCTTCTTGTTATTGACAGAAGAACTTGGGCCAAAGCTAACCAGATCACACCCACAACAAACAGATGAACATATGGCTGTGGAAACCCCAAAACTGGGAACAAAAGACCTGGGTGCCAGCCTCTCATGCTTAATGCCCTGGGTCACATTTTTTCCTCATTTGCAAAAGCACACTAAAAGTGCTTGTTCTGCCTGTTTCTGCAGAAGGGAGGAACAATATAATAGGCAAAACAAAACTAATCAAAACTGTGCTGGAAAGTTAGGAACCCTATCTGTATGCGTACACAACGGGTAGAGTGCTAGTGCCCCAGATGCTGACAGAGATGTGGATTCAAGTTCTCTCGGGCAGAAAGCAGCCATAGCTGGAAGTCCCAGTGTTAGTGGTTGTAACCATCACGCACAGAAAACCACTTCAAAGCCCCTGGGTTTTGCCCATGGAGAAGCTCGAGCCTTGGAGCAGGTTCAGAACTGGACTGTCTATGGGAAGAAGGGCCTTCCACTGCATCAGAGGAGCCAGGCAGCCATCCCTGGCTTTGGAACCAATTCCCAGGCTCAGAATAAAGCAGTGTCACTTGTACTCTTTTCCACAATTGCAGAAACAAGCCAAACAACAATGTTCTACACCTGTTCTCTAGGGCAGAGGCACTGGAGGCCTACTGTGTATAAAAGCAGGCTACACACTGTGGTGCAGTGCACAAATGAGTGCTCATGGAGGCAAAGCATCAAGCTGAGGGCACAGTGCACCATGTGGCCCTCAGCGTTAAGCCCGTCCCTTCCATTTCTTTCCTGTGATTCTTATGCACATGGAACAGTTAGAGCATCAAATTTGGTAATAGTAACTAGGAACCTGACTTTCACCAAGGGAGTAATTATGAAATTGAGAGAGTTTAACCCGGAATGAAGAAAAAACAAAGCAATTACATTATTTAAACATATTCAACTTAAAAATAAGAAAAACAAATGAATGGAAAACATTAAATTGTATCAGGCAATTGGACTCACCACAGTGTGTACTGTTTCTCAGACATGCATTGCCACAGTGCAGCTTGATTGTTTGGCAGACAACCTCAATGTCATTTTTAAATTTGCACAGGCAGCAGGCCATATGGCTAGGTAAGATCCTACAAATAGAAACAGAATTCAGTTAATTGTTAAAGGGTTACTTGAGTAGGTGAAGAGGCAGGCCAAGGCTGTGAGAAAGGACTTCTTGAGGTATGTGGCCAGGCCTGTTGGGTAGGAACCTGATGACCAAGTGCTGCTCTTAAGTGTTGCAAATATGGGAAGGAGGCAGAGGTGCCCAACAGAAAGCTAAGTGAGGCAGTGGGTGTGGTATGCCCTGGATAAAGGTGCCAGGGGTTATAACTGGGGGGCCACGGACCGGTAGCCTCACTCAGGAGTGTCTCCTCCCAGCTCACACAGTAAGCTATACACATGATCTCACTTTGGGTTGGAGTACACAGAAGGAAGACCAACATTTAAGAGTCTGAATAAGAACCACCCCCCGCCAACTTCTGAGGTCCCTATCTCAATTGCTGTTGTGAGTAGCTAATATTAGAAATTGCTCTGGGTACAGAAAAAGACTGACCAAAGAAACTGTTGGAAAAGATATGGAGGGAATGGACCCCTCAGGCACCACGAATGGGAGTGAAAACAGTTTGATGGGACAGGTGGTTGGCCCAGTGGTAAGCATACTGCTGGAACGCGTATGTGCCATACTGGAATCCCTGGATTCTAGTTCTGGTTGTACTTCCAATTCCAGCTTCTTACAATCAACAACCTGTGAGGCTGCACTGCCAACCACAGGAGAGACCCAGGTTGAGTTCTGGGCTCCTGGCTTCTGCCTGTCCTAGCTGCAGTTGGGGGCTGAATTAGCACAGATGAAAGGTCTCATCTGTTGTCTGCTTCTGCCTCAGCTACAGAGAGTGGGGAGAAGAGAGATCTTCCACTCTCTGATTCACTTCCCAAATGGCAGCATTGTCTGGGTCTCATCCAGGAGGAGGCCAGGTACCTGGAACTCCATCTTGGTCTCCCACATGAGAGGCAGGGACCCAAGCACTTGCACTATGTTCTGCTGCTTTTCAGGCATACTGGTAGGGAGCTGAATCAGAAGCAGAGCCCAGATTCAAACTAGAGCTCAGAATCAATGCTGACTTTGCATCCTGTGGCTCAACTGCATTTCTGCAGTGCCAGGTATTAAAAAAAAAAAAAAAAAAAGCTTTAGATGGAAAGTATTTTAATAGTTTCTTACAAACTGAAATATAAAACTACCGTATTTCCCCACCATCCCATTTATGGGTAAATACTCAAGAGAAATAGAAGTGTTAGGTCTGTACAAAGACTACACGATTATTCAAAGGTGATAGAAAAAAAAAAGTTTAAGTTACAGAGATCTTAATTCACTGATTCATTCCCCAAATACCTGATGACACTTGGGACTTGCCCAGGCCAAACTTAGGAGCTGGGAATCTGTATAGGCATCTATATGGGATGAGAGGGACTCAAGCACTTCAGCTGTTACCTGTGTCCTCCTAGGGTGCTTTTATTTTGAAAAACTTCAAATCTACAAAACCCCCCAAAGGAGGCTATCATGAACTTCTATCCTTTACTTAGACTCAGTAGTTGTGAACACTTTGCCACACTTACTTTCCATGTTTGTATGCCCATATGCTTTGACAGTAAGCTATACACGATTACCTTTTCCTGCTAAGTGCTTCCATGTACACCCCAAAGAACCAAGACAGTCTTCTACATATCCATAATACTATCACCATTTAATCACTTTTAATATTGGCTACTGTAGTCCATATAAAAATGTCCTTAATTGTCCTGACCAGCTCTTGGCTTTTTGTTTGTTTCAAGTATAGACTCCAATCAAACATCATACTTCTTTAGTTTTCTTTGATTTATAACTGGTCCCTGTGGTTTATTATTTTAAAAGAGTTTTATTTATTTGGAATGCAAAGTGACAAAGAAAAGAGAGAAAGCTATCTCCTATCCATTGATCCACTCTCCCAAATGCCACCAAAGTTGGGACTAGGACAGGCTGAATCCCGGAGCCAGGATCTCTATCCAGGTGTCCCATCTAAGTCATCACTTGCTGCTTCCCAGGTGCACTAGTAGAGAGCTGAATCAGAAACAGAGCAGCTGGGACTTGAACCTGTGCTCTTACATGGAATGTGAGTGCCCAAGGGGATGGCTTAACCCATTGCAGCACAATGTCCACCCTTTGCTGTGCTTTTGAAATCTTTCATGGCATTGACATTTTTGAAGCGCTCAAGCTAATTATTATATGGTCTGTACTTCAGTCTGGTTTGGTTTTATAAGAGCATCCTGCATGTAATTACTAGAGAAAGCTTCTAGTAAGAACTCATATAAGGAATACTGTCATTTTTGATACTTAATAAAATGACTTAGTAATGACACATTAAAAGTATTCTTTGAAAGTATACCAGCAAAGCTTTAAGACTGTAAATCTTTTATATATTATCCTTACTGGAGAATAATTATTTTTCATTATTGCATTAAAGAGCATTACACATGAGCCAGGACTCAAATGAACTTGTCCTGCTTGGTATAAAAACGTCTAAAGTCCCAAGGGTGTCCAACAATGAACTCCAGTGTGCTAGGAGCTTAAAACTATCACCATGGTGGCAAATAGCTACAGAGAATGATAACGCTTTCCCACCCACTAACGGCCAAGAGTAAAACCAGCTAGACCACCACTGCCTTGGCTAATTTGAGAAAGCTTGTTGATGATGAGAACTTTGGCTATCTAGACAGGAACACATCTTGCTGACATGGGAGGCATCAATCGTGGTTGTTGTAGCCAAGAGTTGAGGAAGAAGAAAGTAGTGTAGCAACCAGTGGATTTGACAGTGTGGGAAAGTTAGTCAAAGAGGTGGCCTGACAGATGATTAGAACAAGGTGCTACATAAGGGGTCTTCTTCCATTTTTGCCTTGTGTAATCCTAACTAGCAGCAGCATATTCCTTCAGTGAGATCCCACGTCGGCACGGGTTCATATTGCGGCTGCTCCACTTCTAATCCACATCCCATCCACCTCCCGGCTTGTGGCCTGGGAAAGCAGTATCAGATGGTCCAAAGCTCTGGGCCCCTGCACCCACATGCGAGACCTGGAAGAAGCTCCTGGCTGGCTCCTGGCTTGACATTGGCTCCACTCAATCTGTTATGGCCATTTGGAGAGTGAATCGGCATATAGAAGATAGAGAGGTCTTCTATTCATTAATTCACTCCCTACATGGCTGCAACAGCTGGAGCCGGGATGGGCTGGGCTGAACCCAAACCCCTGGAGTCAGGAAACAAACCAGCATCCATATGGGATGCTAGCAATACAGGTGAAGGACTGCCTGTTATGCTACCCTGCAAGCTACAGGGGGTTCTCTCTGTTTCTCTTTTTCTGTCTCTCTCACTCTGTGTCTCTCTCTTTCTTTTAAAGTTGTATTTATTTATTTGAAATGCAGAGTTACATATAGAGATGGAGGGGCAGAGAGGACAAGCTATTATAAGTACCTCCTAATAGAATAAAAACATGTTTTATTTATTATTCTTGTAGATTTGAAAGTCAGAGTGACAGAAAAGAGAGCTCTTCCACCCACTGATTCACTTCTCAAATGTCTGCAAGTCAAGGCTGGACTGGGCCATATCGAGGAGCCCAAAATTTCATCCAGGTTTTCCACATGGGTGGCAAGGACCCCAATACATAAGCCATCATCTGCTGCCTGCCAGAGTGTTTATTAGTAAGTGGCTAGATTGGAAAGAGGAGCCAGAACTTGAATTTGTCACTTGCATGTTGGATATGAATGCACAAGTAGCATCTTTAGGCAGTGTGCTTAATGACACCCCTTAGAGCGTTTCTAAGATAAGGGTCAGGATACAATATGGAACAATTACAACTCCTGGCTCTGCTGCTGACAAGGCAAAATGCCCAGACATTTTAGGAAGCAGTTTAGCTGTTTCTCCAACAATTCGTTAATGAATTGTTAGCAGTTCATACAGCAATGTCATCCCTAAGCATTTACTCCAAAGAAATGAAAGCATGTTCACACAGAGATCTTCCTGTGAATGTTTTTAGTTTCACCTGTAGTTGCAAAAAATATTGGGGGAAAAATCAGATGTCCATAAACTGAAGAATGGGTAAACAAACTGGTATTTCCACAGAGCTGGGCAATTTTACTTGGCAGAAGCACTGCTGATAGAGGCAATAACATGGATTAATAGCATAATCCCAAAAGGAATGTGCTATGTGAAAGAAGCCAGACACAACAGGAGACACACAGTGCTTGACTTCACTTTCAAGGCTTTATGGGGAAGTTAAAACCCGATGGGTGGCAATAAGATGGGTGGTTTGTAGGGCCTGGGTTAGGTGGAGATGATTAACTGCAAAAGACTATGGGCGACCTTTCAGAAGCACTAGAAATGTTCTATGTTGGGAATTTGGTGCTGGTTACATAAACATATTTGTCAGAGCTCATCAGATTGCATACTTACTTGTATGAATATTATTACAGGAAAATTATGTCTCAAATAAGCCTGACTTAAAATAAAAAAACATAGAGTGGGCATTGGGGTGCTGTGGGTTAAGTTGCCTTTTGGCACAACTTTGTCCCATATGAGAATGCTATTTCAAGTCCTGGCTTCACTGCTTCTGATCCAACTTCTGACTAATGTATCTGGAAAGGCAGTGGGTCCCTGCTATCCATATAGGAGACCCGGATGAGTCCTGACTTCTACATGGCCAAGCCCTGGCTACTACAATATTTGGGGAGTGAAGGAAGATCTCTCTCCGCATCTCTCTTTCATTCTGCCTTTCAAATAAATTAACATATAAGAAAATTAACACGACCAATCTATAAAACATATGAAAATACTAAGAGAAAAATAACTTACAGCTGTTGCAATTTGAGAGTCATCATGAGGATGTTCTCGATTGTGTTGAGTGACACAAGTGTTCTGCCGACATCTCTGAAGGAGAGAGACCAAACATTCATGATATGATCCCCATTGAAAAGTTCTGTCTTCAGTAGGTTCATTTCAAGACAGGTGTATACATCAGCTTTTGGGTCTTTTAAAACAAACTTACTCAAGAGTTTGTCATGCAAGATAATTCCAGAGAGCTCTTAAAGAAGTTTCACCACGTGCATTATTAAGTCATTAAGGACCCTAACCCTAAACTTTAACCATTATCTTAATTTCATGTTTATATTTCATTTATCTCTCTTAATTAATTACTTTTTTTTCTCTTTTAACAATGATGTGTACTTATATCTCTTTGTTTTCTGGGATCAATGCTATTCCCACTTATATCCACATGTCCCATATCTAAATGTGTTGACCAGCACAATGTCTCCCCTGGCTGTCTTGCCCATTATACAGCCTTTTTTGGTCAGTAACTTATTTTTCAATAACATAGTTAAAGTTATTATTTTCTAATTCAATGTAAAATAATTAGCCTTTATGAGAATAAAGAGTAGAAATCATCTGACTCATGAGATGAATACTTACAAATATTTCAATGCTGGTAATTCAAACAGGTAGGGATCTTCAACAATTGTTAGAGGATTATGACTGAGATTTCTGAAAAAGCACAGTGGAATTAAAATGATGAGCCTTTTAAGTATGCACAGTGGCAATTGTATATATATATGTAGTTATGGAACTTAAAATCATTTTCTATCTTCATCTATAAATCAGCCTTATAATTTCTAAAGCATTCTTGGGGAGCTACATGGGTCACTGGAAGACACAGAAGAGAAAAAGAAAACAAAACTGCAAATGAACAGCAAAGAAAAACTCTTCCAAAGAACTTTTTAGTCAACACCCTTGGAAGGGATTGGTTGTTTGGCCTAGCAAGTCAAAACACCATGACTTTAGATTAGGTGCCAAGTCCATAGGTGTGATGCTAGATAGTGTAAACAACCAAAGGAATAAATAATTTGAGTTTCTCAAAACTTGAATATCTCAAAAGACACGCAAGAATGTGAGGGCAGGTGTTTAGCGCAACAGTTGAGTTGCTGTTTGGGATGACTGCATCTCATATCAGAGTGCCCGGTTCTACTCCATTTTGAATCCATCTTTCCACTAGTGTGCAAGCTGAGGCAGCAGGTGATGTCTCAAATATTTGGGTCCCTGGTACCCACTCAGAGAGATCTCTATTGAGTTTTAGACTCCCCGCTTTGGCCTGACCCAGACTAGGCTATTGTAGCCATTGGGGAAGTACAAAATCCTGTCTACCTCTCTACTTTTCAAATAAAATGAAAGTAAATTAATTTGCTTAAAAAGGCACAAAGACAAGGCCCAGCACTATGGCTAATTGGCTAAAATCTTTGCTTTCAATGTAATGACATCCCATAGGAGCACCAGTTTGTGTCCCGGCTGCTCCACTTCCCTTCCAGCTCCCTGTTTGTGGCCTGGGAAAGCACTGGAGGACGGTCCAAAGCTTTGGGACCCTGCACCCACAGGTGAGACCAGGAAGAAGCTCCTGGCTCCTGGCTTCAGATCAACTCAGCTCTGGCCATTGTAAGTCATTTGGGAAGTGAACCAGCAGATGGAAGAACTTCCTTGCTGTCTCTCCTTCTCTCTGCAAACCTGACTTTCCAACAAAAATAGATAAATTCTTTTTAAAAAAATCATAAAGGCAAGTCACAGTATGGGAGGAAAGATTTATAAATCATCTCTCTGATACAGGATTAGTATCCAGAATGTCCAGACTATATAAGGAACTCTTACAACTCAGTGAAAAGGAAAGCAATTTTTTTAAATGGGGAAAGAATTTGAATAAACATTTAAAGAAGACTTATATATTGCCCATATACATGAAAAGACATTCAATGTCTTAAGTCATTAGAAATGCAAGTGAAAACTACAATAAGATGCTACTTTAATCACTTGCTAGGAGGCTAAATCCAAAAAACAAATGTTGACATATTTTGAAGAACTGGAACCCTACTACTAGGCAAGTGGGGATTGTCAAGTAATGTAGCCAGTGTGGAAAAGAGACTGACAGTTCCTCAGACAAACTGATCCTAGTTACCATATGGTCAGAGTCAAGGCACTTCTTCCTCCCACTCATCCAGATCATGATTTTTCAAGTATTTATCTCTGAAGTGATGAGTTACCTGTGCACAGTGGGAACCTTTGAAGTAGACAAGGGTGTTGTTTATGTTAAGCTGTGGTGTGAAAAACAGTAAGAAAACACATTGCTGTATTTCTGATTCCACACACATTCTGGATGCATGTCAAGGAAATATGGGGTTTTTTATTCTTTGATGGTCATGGCCTTTTTAGATTCACGATGAAGATTCTCCTCTAAGCCTGACTTTGCAATAGCTCATGCACCTACTCTGTGGTTTTAAAACTCAGTTTCAGAGTTCACTTTGGGTTTGAGTGAGGGGCTCAGGGGGTGAATCACGGGGGCCCTCAGGGCCATGGAAACTGGAGTGGTGCTTGCTCATTAATGCCTCCTTTGTCAAGACCATGATCAACACTAGGGAGAAGACGGCATGTCAGCTGTCACACAGACTTGTCAGCCTCTTTGTACCTTGGTTTCCCCAAATTGGAAAAAAAAATGAGTGGATTATAGGGCATAGCTTACTCTCAGCTAACGATAATTATAGGTTTTTACACATATGCAGCTGTTTAAAATGTGTTTGTCTTATATTTCACTTACAACTTCTGCAAAAACTGCATCCCATGCCATGCCTGAAATGTGCCAAAGCTCAGTTCTGTGAGTAAATTGCAACCAAGATTTCTACAAAAAAGCATAAATCAAGAAGCAGAGAGTTATTCTTTGTAAACATTCATCATTCAGCAGTTGTCCTAATTTGTACAGGTGAAACATCACCTCCACACACTCAAGACTTCCCAGTTGGAAGACTCTGGCTTCTGACTTAACACTTTCACATTTACACAGGCGGTGCATTAGGTACACCAAACCACACGCGACAAATACTTGTGCTCAGTGATCTTCATTTCCTCTCTCTAGAACAAGGTTTCACAACTTGAGCCCTTTAGACATTTTGAGCTGGGTAATTCTTTGTTGTGGGTATCCGTCCCTTACATGGTACTTGTTCTACAAGAACTCATGGCAATTCATTTTGCAACACCCTGGCCCTGGCCCACCAGCTACCAGCGGCATGTGCACAGCTGCCGGATAGCACCTGGCACAGAATCATAGCAGTGGAGAGGCACAGTTCTGTGATAACCCACTCTGACCTGGGTGTCGGAGTATCTTTGCTAGGGACTGAAAGATTGGCTGTATAATTCTAGTTAACTTTCTACAAGCAGAATTTTAATCATACTTCAAAATAAATAACAAGTGGGCTATATTTAGGATTGTTTTGAGTCCAACACTGTGCACCACAGGTAGTTGAACTGCCACCTGAGATGCAGTTTGAATCCCGGATGCTCCGCTAGTAAGCTAACTTCCTGTTAATTTGCCTGAGAAAGTAGTGGAAGATGGCCCAAGTGCTTGGGGACTTCTGCACCCACTTGGGAGACCTGATGAAACTCCTAGCTCCTCGCTTCAATTTGACCCAGTCTTGGCAATTATGGCCTTTTTGGCAGCGAACCAGCAGATAGAAGATCTCTCTCTCTCACGCGCGTGATCTCTCTCTCTCTCTCTCTCTCTCTCTCTCTCTCTCTCTGTAAGTCTGTCTTAGATAAAACATCTATCATAATTCCAAATGCAATGAAATTATAACTTACAAAAACTGCAAGAAAGGTAGTGGTTCAAATGTATGTCTTTCAATAGACTGTATGTTGTTACAGGATAAATCCCTAGGGAAAAGAAAAGGAAATATTGCCTTGATTATCTACTTTAGATCTCTAATCAGCAGGAAAAAAACAGGACTTAGAACTGAGAATATGGCTTCTGTGCTTTTGTCTGAATGCTAAACCTTGGATTTCTGTCTGAAGTTTCCAGAACCTCTAATCCTACTTGCAACTTTCTATAATAGGCTCACCTTCATGCTCTTCACAAGTAACATATATAATTACAAGTCTTGATAGATTTGGAGGGCAAAATTTTCTGATAACAGGAATTGATTAGAACCTCTCTTCCCTCTTCTGTAATCCAGAGATAGTTTACGTCTCTCAGTGTGTATATCCATTTCTTCTTAACACTATTACCCTTGTCTCTTCCCATTTCTTCAAAGCATAAACTCCTTGAAAAACATGGACTTGGTCTTGTTCATCTGCATTGACCACCAAGTTGAAAACTCACTCATGGAGGTAGGGAGGACTAGCATTGTAGACAGTGGGTTAAACCACCATGCCTGTTCAAGTCCCAGCTGCTCTGCTTCTGATCAGCTCACTGCTAATGTATCCGGGAAAGCAGCAGGTGTACTTGGTCCCCAGCCATCCATGTAGAAGACAAGGATGGAGTTCCTGGCTCCTGGCTTTGATCTGCACCATTACTGGCTCTTAAAGACCTTTGGGCAGTGTGCCAGAGCATGGACAATCTCACTGTCTCCCTGTCTTATCTCTCTCATCTCTACCTTTCTCCTATCTCTCTGTTGCTCTTCTTTCAAATAAATATTTTTAAAAATAAATAAAACTGGCTCATGGAAACCAAGCAAACAAAGATATTTATGAAATAAGTGAGTAGCTGTGGAGTGAGTAGAAGAATGAAGAAGGTGACTAGTTTTAGAGGATGTGGTTGTAGAACTCCATGACCCTGCAGAGCATTGTCATCTACGTAGTGCTTGTTGAGCATGTTTGATTTATGTGCTTGTTTTCCCTGTTAGATTATGAGCTCCTAGAAGGGTAAGAATCCTGCCTTACACATTTTTGCATTTCAAAAATTAAGTAGCGTGCTTGGCATTCTCTTTCACATTTTAAATCTGATTGGCTCTTACAGTGATGTGAATAATACAAGATCAATAGATACAGAGGTAAACATGCATGAACATATAGTCAGCAAGAGGGACTATACAATAGACTATCATATCGAGAAGTGAACATACATTGCAGTATGCATCTATACTTCCAAATCAAAGATAGACTCCCACTGAGACTATTAAATAAATCTTGACATTAGAATGCTGAACTTTCTGTCATTGTCTATACTTACAATGGCAGGATACACTAAACCATCAGAATGATGAACGTATGACTGTTTTTGAAGGACATACTATTGTAATAATATAGGGGAAATCAGTGGGAAGGAGAGGAATTGGGTGGGGAAGGGGAAATTCCCAAGCCTATGGAATTGTATCAAGGAAGGAAAGAAGAAAGGAAAAAAGGAAGGAAGGAAGGAAGGAAGGAAGGAAGGAAGGAAGGAAAACAAAGGAAGGATGCAAATATATAGGCTATCATGCAGTCAGCTTACAAAGGCTGTCCGGGTAGAAGCAATACTGAGCAGTTTTCTCATTTCTTTCTCTCCAGACTGTGTTTGCCCAGATTGTAAAGGTACCCAAGACTTCCAGTACAGAAGTGGCTGTCCCCTTACGGCCTAGAGGGTTTGGTCTTATGCCTCATACAATGAATAGAATGACACAAATATGTCATATGAATTATATATGCTAATGAGTACCAATAATTAGCCTAAGGAGGATTAATGATTGTCTACCTCTATACTACTTCATCGTCATTTTAAACATGTTTTCTAAAATCCAGTGTAACAATTTCTGCATTGAAACACAAATCCCAATCTATCCTCCTGGTATTTTAAAATTATTGATTATATTAATTCTTCTTTTCTCCCATTTATTATTATTATTTCTAAGATACAGTTCTATATGCTCTGGGATTTCCCCTACCCCCTCTCCAAATCCCCTGTCCCCTATACTATTTTTCTGTTATTTCTCTGTTTTGCTATTTAGTACTTAGTCTGATTCAGGTTAAATTATCAAGCAGTTTTGAATTCATAGAATTCACATTCATGTTAGTGGTCTATATTTCAATTCCTTTAGGCAAATATCTAGGGTTATCTTTAATTCCCTTTCTTCTACTAAATCTTCTGAATTAGCTTTGTAAATATTTTTTCATAAAGGTCAGATGATAAATGGATCACATACAGTCTCAATTGCATTTTCTACCTTGTTCCTCTTTTGCTGGTGCTTTTTTCCTTTTCTGGCCCTTTGTAAATGGGAAATCATTTATACTCAGACCTGGACAGGATTTGATTCATGAGGTATGGATTAAATACAAATGTAAGCAAATAGAATATAAACATGATGTACCAAAGTCCGTTGTGTGTCTATAATGAATCTGATCTTATCACCACTCTCCTGTGTAAGTGAAGTTTCCTATCTGGGTCTTGTCTATATAATTTTTTAAATGCAAACTGCATAGGAGGCATTCAGTGTATTAGACCATACTCAGACTTCTAGAATTGCAGAATTGTATTACTAGAAGAAACTCTAGAGATTATCTGGTTTGAACCCTTATTTATTTTACAGATAACCATAATCTCATAAATTTAAAAAATCACATAAACTTACAGATACTCCAGTGATATCAAGCCTTCAAATGAATCCTTATGTAATTCAGTCAAACGATTATCACTGAGAATTCTAGAAAATGAAAAGGTTATTTCAAGAAATAAGAGCAAACCAAGGACAACTTTTTGCTACATAGGAATTACTCCATAGGTGGAGGTGACCTCAGAAACCGTGTCACTTAGGTAGTAGCTTCATTCTAATTTCAAGTTGATGCTGCAGATTCTATTTTTATTTGTAACTTTTCTTCATTCATTCCATCTCTAAACACACACACACACCTACCCACCCTTCCCACCAAGTCATATATTTAATATCTACTCTGCAGATCACAATAATTCTGGGAGGCATCAAGATTGGCAGAACTGCCATCTTCTCCAGTCTTTTGCTAAACCTAAACCTCACCATAGAAGGCCCAAGTAGCCATGTTGCCTTCAAGCTAATGTAGACACAAGGAGAAATAATAATGACTGAATCGTTGCATCCCTGCATCTCATGAGGAGACCTGGAATGAGTTTTAGGCTCTCAGCTTCACTAGATGCAGTCCTGGCCATTGAAGACATTTGGAAAGAGATCAGTGATGGGAGCTCACTCATTTCCCATGGCCCTTAACCCTGTCTCTCAATCCTCCCAGCTCTAGGTCTCACAAATAAAGTTGATTAAAATTATTTTTCCTCTCAGCCATCTTTACCACCCTCATTTCCACAACCCAGAGAAAACAAATTTGTTTTCCTATGAAATGAGTTTCATTTCTCTTACAATTTGGGGAAACAAAAATCTCTAAAGAAGAAATGAATAAGGTAATATAAACTATGTATCATACTTAAGAGGTTCATAATTTATGAATGACTTGTAGCAATTTTCCTCTGAACATATGAGGTATCCATCTTCATAATCCCTTTTCCTAGGGTTAGTTTGTTTTGTGTTTTATTTAAAAAAAAAAAAAAGGATTTATTTACTCTTATGTGAAAGGTAGAGTTGGGGGAGCCCGCTACAGCGGCAGCAAGGCAGGGAAGATGGCAGATGTGATCAGCAACTTGTGACAGTACAACATCCAAAACAAGGAGATCATGGTCAAGGGGGAAGAAGTCGTCTTCGGGGAGTTCTCCTGCCAAAGAACATCAAGACCAACTATGTGGCGTGGGGGTCTGAGAAGAAAGGCCAGCCAACAGAGTACCACATTTTGGACTTCATCCTGTTCCTGTTGAACATGTGCACCTTTCTCATCCCGTTTATGTCCACCATGCAGCTACTGGAAATAGTCCTGTGGTTAGAACACCTGACTGCCAAGATCTGCTTAGTTATCTTAATGGGGAAGCATCAACATGTGCAAGTATTGTAGAAGCGCCCTCTGCAGATAGGGCTGCAGCCACCTACTCAAGCTAAACGAGCTGCAGATGGAGTTCTAGCAGAAGTCAAGAAACCACGCGTACTGAAGAATGTGTACATCTTGATAATCAGAGACTGGCTGCTCGTTTGGAGGGTCATAAAGAAGGAACTGTACAGACTGAACAGATTAGGTCTTTATCTGAAGCCATGTCAGTAGAAAATATTGTGCAATCAAAGCCAAACTTATGGTTAAGAAACAGTCTGCTGTCAACACTGATCTGGATGATGATGTCACTGACGTTAACCAGGGGAGTTTTGTAGATGCTGAGGTAGATGTGACCTGAGGTATTGTCAGCATGTGGATGAATGGACAACGATCTTGCAGAGCACAGGAAATAACTTTTCGGAGAATCTTTTTGCAATTCTTCAGTCTGTGATAGAGAAGGGTGGGTACCTGAACAGTGACCAGCTCCAAATGCAGCCCCAGTGGATCCCACATTGTGTATGAAACTGCCTAACCCGGCTGCATACAACAGATATGATCAGCAGAGATTCAAAGGAAAAGAAGAAACAGAAGGCTTCAGAATTGACACTGTGGACACCTACCAAGTTATGAGACTGAAACTCTTGCAGGAGGGTGCATCTGCCTGCAAGACTCAGACTCGTGCAGCACAGCCATACCAAGACCAGTTTCATAAGCAAGACCTTCTCCAAATCAGAAAAAAAAGTTCTCAAACACCCATCATCATAATTCCCACAGCTACCACTTCTTTAGTAACCATGTGTAATGCAAAAAGCCTTTACAGGATTTAAAATCGGTCTCATCAGATGTAAAGAAGAAACAGGATTGTCAACAAGAAAAACTCAAATTCAGAGAAGAAAAGACCAAATGCAACCAAGCGGCACCACAATTAGTGCCACAGTACCTTATATGGTAATAAATCAACTCCTTAAACTTTTGCCTCAAGATTGGGATCAGGTTGTGGCAATTTTTGTGCAAGGTCCTGCTTGGCCGTTCAAAGGTTGGCTGCGGCTTTTGCCTGATAGATCACCAGTTGACACATTTGTCAAAATTAAAGCCTTCCATCTCAAGTATGATGAAGTTCATTTAGATCCAAACATTCAGAAATGGGATGTAACAGTATTAGAACTCAGCTACCATCAACGTCATTTGGATAGACCTGCTTTCTTGAGGTTCTGGGATAGATACTGGATAGATACATGGTGAGGCATAAATCCCACTTGAGATTCTGAATGTCTTGGTTCCCTCTTTTCTGGAAATCTGGACTAAGAAACACGGATATACGTTGATACAAAGACTGAGACTCAAGCTGTATGAATTTATCAGGAGCCTGACCATTGAAGAAGGTCACACATCCATCTCTTCTAAACTTTCATGTTTTGTGCTTCAAAGGGGTGAGGCTTCTCATCCAGAAAAGCAAACTTTTGGCTTACAGCTGTTTTTTTTTTTTTTAATCTTAGCCTTCTAGTCTGTAATTGAAATTGTAGATTTTGATAGAAGTTTTTTTTTCATTGATTATATTAACATTACTATAACTTTTTTTGGAAACTAGAGACAGGATATAAATACGTGTATGCTTAGAGATTATAAGGCTTTCTAAGCCATCTTGCTTCTGATTTTTTTATTGCTTTATTAATTCCTTTTGCTGAAAATACTATGTTATGAATGGCGTTAATTTGAATGAATCAAAATATCAGCCTAAAAATCTACCACATCTGCATTTAGTGTATTTACAAAGGAATAATGAAAACATCAAGAATAACTCTTCAGTTTTGGTTAATTGTTCAGCCTTTATTCAGACTTTTCCTTATGCTTAATACAGTTAATAAATGTAAAAAAATGAAAATAAAAAGAGTTTGGTAGAGTGCAGTAGCCTAGTAAGTGGCTAAAGTCCTCACCTTGCATGCACCAGGATCCCATATGGGTGCTGGTTTGTGTCTCAGCTCCTCCACTTCTAATCCAGTTTCCTGTTTATGGCCTGGGAAAGCTGTGGAGAATGTCCCATTTCCTCGGGCCTGTGCACCCGTGTGGGAGACCCAGAAGAAGCTCCAGGTTCCTGGTTTCAGATCATCTAAGCTGTGGCCATTGTAACCATTTGGGGAGTGAGCTAACAGCTTGAAGATCTTTCTCCCTATATCTTTCTTTGTAAAGATGCCTTATTTAAATAAATAAATAGGAAAAACGAGAAATATTTTCTAAAGTATATGTAAACCAATTGCTTCTACAAACAGGAAAATGATGAAACAACAGGAAGATAGACAAAGGGCAGAAACCTTAATGAAACATAAGTGTTCAGTAAACATTTTAAAGATATTTAAATTCATGGGTAATCAGAACAATCTGAATTCTGATGAGTCCTCTTTTATTCACTTGCCTTAAGCAAAGCAATGGAGAGAATCCAGTGGTGAGAAGGTGATGGGAACTGATTGATGCCATGGGAGTAAATGATGCTATGGTCTGCTGACTGAATGGTAAGCTGGCACACAACTTTGATGACATTTAAAAGTATATCTGATTGGTCTTTACCCCAGCAATCCCATTTTTAGATTTCACTCTACAAAATGCTTTTCCATAATCACAAAGAAATGTGTGTGTGCTGCAATTGTGCATGAAAATTTTAATATAATCTAAAAATCCATCAATAGGGGAATTATTAAACTATGATAGAGACATATTGGGGAATATTATGCAGTAACTTATAGGAAAAAGCTAGTCCTCCAAGTGTAGGGAGGAAAGAATCCCAGGACACATCATGAAGTTAAGGAATCAAGTTACAAGGTGTAATTATTTAGGCACAATAAGTACATATGTGTATATCCAGCCATACAACAAGCTTATTTTGTTAAATGTAAACATGTATGTAGGCAAATGCAAGATAAAAGAACTCAAAGGGCATGTACTAAAATCACAAGCAGTGCTTACCTGAGAGGTAGAGAGTTATGGTATAAGGAAGGTTTTCCTATCTCTTTATTTTCATTTTTTTTATCCACCAGAAAGAATCACATAGGACTTAAATTATAGAAAATAAATTTAAATTGACTCAATTCAAATTCTATGGTTGGAGCAACTATCAAACTATAATCAATGGATACTGATTTTTGTCATGAAAAGGAAATGGCTTTTCTTAGAAGTATTAACCTCCAAATTCTAGATCAAGAAAGAGCTTATGAGGCTGTCAGGTTTTTTGTTGTTGGTAACCATAGTTAAAGAGAATATACTCACATTTTCTCAGCCCAACGATATGATTTCCATACATTTTCATCAATGTAGGAAATAAAGTTTTTCTGGAAATTTCTGTAAACAAAGAGTTCATATCCATGAATTGAAGAATGAGGAGAACAAGGAAAAGACTTCTGACAACCTCATAGGGCTGTTGGAATATGGAAATTATCACCAGCTTTTCAATGTCCAGGTCTCTCAGATTGCTGGTTTGCACAGCCAGTGAAGTGATAGTGTGGAGGGCCTGGCACTCATTCATAAGCATTTGTCTGCTTTATGCTCACCAATAAAAAGTGTCTAAACCTGAACACATCTCCCTCCACTTGTTTCTCCTTTCTGATTGCTCACTTCCTCCTGTTAGAGCACCATCATTCTCACCATCATCTACAATAAACTGTGACATCAAGTGCTTTTCTTTTCTAGACACTCCACCCCACATCTCTGCTCAGTCATGAGATTTGATCTCTGCTCCTCTCTGTATATCTGCTTTTTCAATAAAAATAAATAAATCTTTTAAAAAATGGATCAGGAAAGGAGCAAGGCCAATCACAGTGAGACTGGAGAAGGAGCACAAGAATAAGGAGGAGAAAGAGGATAGGGAGAGTTGAGAAGCAAAGGATCAAAATAGAAAGGCAATGTAGATTGTGGACACAAGGAAGGCACGGGAAAATCCTGAAGAAAAGGCTGACAGGAAGCATGTAAGGAACTAAGAGGAAGGGCAGGTCTTACAAGATGGTGAAGGTGCCATTGTAGGTGTTGGGAGCTGGCACAGGCACTTGGTGGAGCTTCTGACTTGGGCTGAGCCCAGTACATAACAATGTCTCATTTCTGCAGGTACACAGCTTGCAAATGTTGATATTCCACGAGGTGGTCTTTTCCTTTTGCACAGTCAAGGTATTTACTGGGATGTAATTTACAGAAGGTTGAGTTTTAAGTTCCAGATTTGAAGGTTGACCTGTGACTGAAGTAAAGTTTGAGTGCTGAGTCTGAACCTGGTCTGCGCGTGCAGCTGTAATCTTCTTCAGGGATGTGGAATGTTCAGCCTCTGCAGTAGGCACTGGCATTTTGTTGGGCTCCAGATTTGAAGGCTGAACTGTGCTGCTGGGCAGCACTGGATGCTGAGCTTGATTCTGACCTGCTGTTGAAACTGTTATCCCATAATACACTGGGGATTGGGATCCAGCCTGTTTAGGTGCCTCTGTTGGCTGAGCTGGAGTCTCCTGCATAGTCACAGAAGGGTTAAAGTCTGTAGTAGGTGGTGGAATTTCCAAGTCCAGAGGCTTAACTGTGACTCCAGTCTTGTTTGGATACTGAGTCTTAAATTGTTCTGGATATGCAGTTATCACCTCAGAGTGAATTGGCACTGATGTTACAGCGCTCTTCGTGGCTGTAAAATATTCAGCATCCATACTGGGTTTGGGAGTCATAGTTTCCCCTAGATTCAAAGGTTTAACTGTGACCTTGAGTGAGGCTAGATGTTGAGGCTGATCCTGAGTTGGGGTTGGAAATGGTCCCTCCTGATTTATGGGAGCTTGGGTAACAACTTCCGAAGGAGGCTGAGGTGGAATCTCCTGAATGGAAGGAGAGGTTCCAACGACACTACTGGGTTCTGGAATTATGGTAACGTCCAGATCTATGTCCAAAGGTTTAACTGTGACATTGGTTGATGCTAGTTGTTGAGGCTGATCCTGAGTTGGGTTTGGAAAAGGTCGCTCCTGATTTGTGAGAGCTTGGGTTACAACATCCGTAGGAGGCTGCTTAGGAGGCTCCTTAGTGGTTGGAGAGGATCTGACTATTCTACTGGGTTCAGGAGTTATGGTAACTTCCAAGTCTATGTTCAAAGTTTTAACTGTGACATTGGTTGATGCTAGCTGTTGAGGCTGATCCTGAGTTGGGGTTGGAAATGGTCCCTCCTGATTTATGGGAGCTTGGGTAACAACTTCCGTAGGAGGCTGAGTTGGAATCTCCTGAATGGAAGGAGACGTTCCAACCACACTACTGGGTTCTGGAGTTATGGTAACGTCCAGATCTATGTCCAAAGGTTTAACTGTGACATTGGTTGATGCTAGTTGTTGAGGCTGATCCTGACTTGGGGTTGGAAATTGTACCTCCTGATTTATGGGAACTTGGGCTACAACTTCTGTAGGAGGCTTCTTTGGAGGCTCCTTAGTGGTTGGAGAGGATCCAACAACCGTATTTGGTTCAGGAGTTGTGGTAAGTTCCAGGTCTATGTCCAATAGTTTAACTGTGACATTGGTTGATGCTAGCTGTTGAGGCTGATCCTGAGTTGGGGTTGGAAATGGTCCCTCCTGATTTATAGGAGCTTGAGTTACTATTTCCCTAGGAGGCTGAGCTGGAGTCTCCTGAGTGGTTAGAGAGGGTTCAAACACTATACTGGGTTCTGGATTTATGGTAACTTCCAGGTCTATGTCCAAGGGTTTAACTGTCATATTGGTTGATGCTAGCCGTTGAGGCTGATCCTGAGTTGGGGTTGGAAATGTTCCCTCCTGACTTATGGGAGCTTGAGTTACAACTTCCGTAGAAGGCTGAATTGGTGTCTCCAGAGTGATTGGAGATGGTTCAACCACACTACTGGGTTCACCAGTTGTAGAACGTTTCAGGTCTACCTCCAAAGGTTTAACTGTGACATTGGTTGATGCTAGCTGTTGAGGCTGATCTTGAGTTGGGGTTGGAAATGGTCCCTCCTGATTTATGGGAGCTTGGGTTACTACTTCACTAGGAGGCTTCTTAGTAGGCTCCTTAGTGGTTGGAGAGAGTTGAAGCACGGTATTTGGTTTCTGAATTGTGGTAAGTCCCAGGTCTATGTCGAGTGGTTTAACTGTGACATTGGTTGATGCTAGCTGTTGAGATTGATCCTGAGTTGGGGTTGGAAATGTTCCCTCCTGATTTATGGGAGCTTGTGTTACTACTTCACTAGGAGGCTGAGCTGGAGTCTCCTGATTCGTTGCAGAGGGTTCAAACACCATGCTGGGTTCTGGAGTTATGGAAACTTCCAGGTCTACCTCCAAAGGTTTAACTGTGACATTCGTTGATGCTAGTTGTTGAGATTGATCCTGAGTTGGGGTTGGAAATGTTCCCTCCTGATTTATGGGAGCTTGGGTTACACCTTCTGTAGGAGGCTGCTTTGGTGTCTCCTGATTGGTTTGAGATGGTCCAACTACCGTTTTTGGTTCCTGTGTTGTGGTAAGTTCCAGATTTATGTCAAAAGGTTTAACTGTGACATTGGTTGATGCTAGCCGTTGAGGCTGATCCTGACTTGGGTTTGGAAAAGGTCGCTCCTGATTTATGGGAGCTTGGGTTACTATTTCCCTAGGAGGCTGCTTAGGAGTCTCCTGAGTGGTTAGAGAGGGTTCAAACACGATACTGGGTTCTGGAGTTATGGAAACTTCCAAGTCTACCTCCAAAGGTTTAACTGTGACATTGGTTGATGCTAGTTGTTGAGATTGTTCCTGAGTTGGCGTTGGAAATGTTCCCTCCTGATTTATGGGAGCTTGGGTTATACCTTCTGTAGGAGGCTGCTTTGGTGTCTCCTGATTGGTTTGAGATGGTCCAACTACCGTTTTTGGTTCCTGTGTTGTGGTAAGTTCCAGATTTATGTCAAAAGGTTTAACTGTGACATTGGTTGGTGCTAGCCGTTGAGGCTGATCCTGACTTGGGGTTGGAAACCGTCCCTCCTGATTTGTGGGTGGTTGGGTTACATTTTCACTAGGAGGCTTAGTTGCAGTTCCCTGTGTGGTTGGAGAGGGTTCAAACACTATACTGGGTTCTGGATTTATGGTAACTTCAAGGTCTATGTCCAATGGTTTAACTGTGACATTGGTTGATGCTAGCTGTTGAGGCTGATCCTGACTTGGGTTTGGAAAAGGTCGCTCCTGATTTATGGGAGCTTGTGTTACTACTTCACTAGGAGGCTGAGCTGGAGTCTCCTGATATGTTCGAGAGGGTTCAAACACGATACTGGGTTCTGGAGTTATGGAAACTTCCAAGTCTACCTCCAAAGGTTTAACTGTGACATTGGTTGATGCTAGCTGTTGAGGCTGATCCTGAGTTGGGGTTGGAAATGGTCCCTCCTGATTTATGGGAGCTTGGGTTATTACTTCTGTAGGACGCTCAGTTGGAGTCTCCTGAGTGGTTGGAGAGGTTTTAATCACCATGCTGGGTTCTGGAGTTATGGTAAGTTCCAGGTCTACCTCCAAATGTTTAACTGTGACATTGGTTGATGCTAGCTGTTGAGGCTGATCCTGGGTTGGGGTTTGAAATGGTCCCTCCTGATTTATGGGAGCTTGGCCTACAACTTCTGTAGGAGGTTGTTTTGGAGGCTCCTTAGTGGTTGTAGAGGATCCAACAACCGTATTTGGTTCAGGAGTTGTGGTAAGTTCCAGGTCTATGTCCAAAGGTTTAACTGTGACATTGGTTGATGCTAGCTGTTGAGGCTGATACTGAGTTGGGGTTGGAAATGGTCCTTTCTGATTTATGGGAGCTTGGGTTACTATTTCCCTAGGAGGCTGAGCTGGAGTCTCCTGAGTGGTTAGAGAGGGTTCAAACACGATACTGGGTTCTGGAGTTATGGAAACTTCCAGGTCTATGTCCAAGGGTTTAACTGTGACATTGGTTGATGCTAGTTGTTGAGGCTGATCCTGACTTGGGGTTGGAAATGTTCCCTCCTGATTTATGGGAGCTTGGGCTACAACTTCTGTAGGAGGTTGTTTTAGAGGCTCCTTAGTGGTTTGGGAGGATGCAACAACCGTATTTGGTTCAGTAGTTATGGTAACTTCCAAGTCTATGTCCAAGGGTTTAATTGTGACATTTGTTGATGCTAGCTGTTGAGATTGATCCTGAGTTGGGGTTGGAAATGTTCCCTCCTGATTTATGGGAGCTTGTGTTACTACTTCACTAGGAGGCTGAGCTGGAGTCTCCTGATTTGTTGCAGAGGGTTCAAACACCATGCTGGGTTCTGGAGTTATGGAAACTTCCAGGTCTACCTCCAAAGGTTTAACTGTGACATTGGTTGATGCTAGCTGTTGAGGCTGATCCTGAGTTGGGGTTGGAAATGTTCCCTCCTGATTTATGGGAGCTTGGGTTACACCTTCTGTAGGAGGCTGCTTTGGTGTCTCCTGATTGGTTTGAGATGGTCCAACTACCGTTTTTGGTTCCTGTGTTGTGGTAAGTTCCAGATTTATGTCAAAAGGTTTAACTGTGACATTGGTTGATGCTAGCCGTTGAGGCTGATCCTGACTTGGGGTTGGAAATGGTCCCTCCTGATTTGTGGGTGGTTGGGTTACATTTTCACTAGGAGGCTTAGTTGCAGTTCCCTGTGTGGTTGGAGAGGGTTCAAACACTATACTGGGTTCTGGATTTATGGTAACTTCAAGGTCTATGTCCAATGGTTTAACTGTGACATTGGTTGATGCTAGCTGTTGAGGCTGATCCTGACTTGGGTTTGGAAAAGGTCGCTCCTGATTTATGGGAGCTTGTGTTACTACTTCACTAGGAGGCTGAGCTGGAGTCTCTTGAGTGGTTGGAGAGGGTTCATACACCACACTACCGGGTTCTGGAGTTATGGTAAGTTCCAGGTCTACCTCCAAAGGTTTAACTGTGACATTGGTTGATGCTAGTTGTTGAGGCTGATCCTGGGTTGGGGTTGGAAATTGTACCTCCTGATTTATGGGAGCTTGGGCTACAACTTCTGTAGGAGGCTTCTTTGGAGGCTCCTTAGTGGTTGTAGAGGATCCAACAACCGTATTTGGTTCAGGAGTTGTAAGTTCCAGGTCTATGTCCAAAGGTTTAACTGTGACATTGGTTGATGCTAGTTGTTGAGGCTGATCCTGACTTGGGGTTGGAAATGGTCCCTCCTGATTTATGGGAGCTTGGGTTACAACTTCCATAGGAGGCTGCTTTGGTGTCTCCTGAGTGGTTGGAGAGGGTTCAACCATGGTACTGTGTTCAGGAGTTATCGTAACTTCCAGGTCCAAAGGTTTAACTCTGACATTGGTTGTCTGATTTGAACTCTGAGTCTGAATCTTGTCTGGCTCCTGAGCTCTAGCATGTTCAGACTCTGAGGTGCGTTCTGGAATAATAGAAGGTGTTAGGTCTAAAAACTGATCTGTGATATTGGGTGATACTGGAATTTGAACCTGGTTCTGTCCTTGTGTTGGAACTGTCATCTCATAATATGCTGGAAGTTGAGGCACAATCTGTGTAGTCTTTGTAGGCTGAATTTGTGTCTCCTGCCTGGTTGGCAAAGGTTCATTCTCTGTACTGAGTTTTGGAGTATAGATAAGTTCAAGGTCAAATTGTTCAACTGTGACTTCAGTCTGGTTTGGGCGTTGAGTCTGAACCTGTTCTGGGTTCCCTGTCACCTCAGGGAGTTTTGGAGATGTGGTTGTCCCTGGAACTGTCAAATATTCAGGGGGTTCTGAAGCAACAGTAAGCTTCAGTTCCAAAGGTTCATACATAGTGCTAGACAACATGAGATTCTGAGCTTGATTTTGACTGGCTGTTTGAATTGTCTGCTCCTGATATACTGGAGCCTGAGATACAACTCCCTTTGGTGGTACTGGAGAGTAAGTTGATTTTTCTTTCATAGTTGGAGAAAGTTCACCACCTATAATGGGTTGTGGAGCTATGGTAAGTTCCACGTGCAGAGGTTGAAATGTGATGCTGGGTGGTTTCAGATCCTGAGCTTGATCCTGAGCTTGTGTTGGAACTATCGCCATCTGATATTCTGAGCCTTGAGCTACAACTTTTTTAGGTGGCTCTAAAATCTGGGCTTGGTCCACCAGTTGTGTTGGGGAATGTTCAACCACTCTCATGGGAACATGGAGTTGAGCTGAGGGTTTTTCCTGGGCTGGATATGACTTCACTTGCTCAAGAAGCTCTAGGATCTGAGATAGAGCCTCTTGTGGGACTGGAAAAGATGCCATCTTATTGGGTGGCTGTATAGGCTGAACGGTGGCCTCTTGCTGGATGGGAGCTAGTTCCATTCCAGGGAGCTCTGGAGGTGGAGCTGGAGCCACCTGTTGGTCTGGAGAGGGTTGCACCATAAGAGAGACCTCAGGATGCTGAGTTAGGGCTGCCTGCTGCACTGGATATGGGAATTTTGCAGGATGATATGGGATCATTTGCTGAGGAAGAGAAGATTCCACCTCCCTCCGAGCCTCTGAAAGTGTTACTGCAGCCTCCCGGGGGTCTACAGTTGGTTCTGTCTCTTTATGTGATTCTAGAGGCTGAGATGAGCCCTCTGGCTGGGTTGGAGAAGGCTTAGCCTCAAGAGGCCATGAAGGGTATCCTGAAGATGCTTCAATCTGCTTAAAAGGCTTTGGTGGTTGAGCTAGAGTCTCCTGTTGCAATGGATAAGATTCTCCCTTTGGGGGTAGTTCTGAAGGTTGGGAAAGAAGGTCAAGCTTGGTTGGAGAAAATTCAGCTTCCTCAGTAGGAACTGAAGGTTGAGCAAGATTCGCCTGGTGAGCTGAAAGAGTTGGAGCTGCTGAAGTGGGCTCTGGAGTTATGTTAAGCTCAAAATCCACATGTTTCACTGTAGTTTTAGAAGACTTTAAATACTGACCTTTAAATGTTATTTCTGGATCAAATGGTGAAAATGTCATATCCTGTGAAGGAAAAATATCACTAGTCTCAGAGGATGTGGAGGGCTGAATTGGAAGTTCCTGTTGGTGTGCTAACTGTTGAACAGCCACAGGGGGCTTTTGAGGCAGAGCTGAACTCTCCTGTTTGCTTGTAAAAGGATCCTCAATGATTTCTTTGGGCTGCGTTGGAATCCCTGCATCAACCGGTGATTGCTGAGCTGTATCTGGCAGCTGGTCTTTCAAAGGCTCAGGCTGCACAGGGGACCTTGTGAACAGAGCTGGGGCATCTTTTCGGGTTGAGATTTCAAACTGATTTGCAAACTTAGAAAGTTCAAAGGGGATACTGTGCAATGTTGGATGCTGAAATTGATTATGAACTAGAGGAGAAGCCATTTCGTTGGGATTCTCTGGAGGTTGAGCTGCAACTTCTTTAAAGATCCCTGATGGTTGCATCAGGGAATCTTCAACCTTCTTGGGGGTTGGTAAATTCTCAGCTGTGACCTTCTGCTTGAATGAAAGCAATTTCTCAATCTGAAAACCTTTTGGATGTTGAGCTGCAGCCTCCTGCTGAATTGGCAAGACTTTCAGTGCTTTAGAATGTTCTATGGGAAGAGTCGGCACCTCCAGACGGGTTACGGGATTTGCTTCATTCGATGGGACTGAGAACTCATCTATAGTCTCATTTCTGACTGGAGAAGTCACCACTTCTGTTGTAGGTGCCGATGTTTTGGAAAGGTGCATATATACAGGATTAATAGCAAAACTGGACAAAACTGAATCATAATCATCATAGTAATCTGGGAGTGAAGAGGTCACATTCTGATGCTCTGGAGACTGAGGTTGTTCCTGCTTTGGTGGTGGTGGTGAAGGTTCCATTTTATCAGCAGGTTCAGAAGGTTGGGGTTCAGTCCCCGGCTGGCTTCCAGATGCATCAGCCCCCTCAGAAGATGCAGGAGGCTTCATTGGTAGCTTCTGGTCACTTAGATAGGGTTCAGTGTCCACAGAAGATGCAGGAGGCTCTGTTGGGGCCTCCTGCTGGTCCAGGAAAGGTTTATCCTGTACAGAAGACTCTGCATACTCACCTGGCTTCTCTTGTTCATCGGCAGAAGGTTTTGTCTCCACAGGCACTCCCAGATTCTGAGCTGGTACCTCATGCTGTGTTGGAGAAGATTCAACCTTTTGGGTAGGCTCTGAAGCTATCATAATTTCCACATCTGCGGATGAGGAAATTCCGACTGTAACACTGGGTAGGTTGCCATGAGTTTGATTTGCATCTTCATTTGCTACCTCATGACCTGGTAGAGTCTGAGGAGCTTGGCCTAGGACCTCTTGCGGGCCTGGAGGTTCGGTTTCCTCAAGGGGCTTCCAAGGCTGGGCTAGGGTTTCTATCGGGCTTCCAGGAGGTCCCACTTCCTCAGAAAACCCAGAAGGTGTCACTGGCTGTTCCTGCTCACTTGGATAAGGTCCAGTGTCCATCGAAGGGCCAGGAGGCTGTGCTGAAGCCTCAGGGAGGTCTGAAAAAGGTTCAGTATCCACAGGAGACTCTGCATACTCAGCTGGTTTCTCCTGTTCATTGATAGAAGGCTCCGTCTCTGAAGGAGCTCCCAGAATCTGGTCTGGCAGGTCCTGATGGGTTGGAGAAGTTTCAACCTTTTGGGTTGGCCCTGCAGCTATGGTAATATGCCAAACTACACGTTTAATTGTAACACTGGGAAGATTATCTTGATGATTTTGATCCTGACTTGCAGGTTCATCTGTCTCCTCCTGACTCAATGGAGCTTGAACTATATTCTGGATAGGAGATTCTGAAGCTTGAGCTGGAAACTCTTCTTGGGCTGGAAGTTTGACTTCCTCAGGGAGCTCTGAAGGCCTTGCTGGAGCTTCCATCTGGCTAGCAGGAAGTTCAATTGCTTCAGGAGACACAGAATTTGGGGCTGGCTGCTCTGACTCATCAGGTAAGCTTTCTGTGCCCACTGGAGGACCAGGAGGCTGAGTTGGGTATCTCTGCTGAGCTAAAGAATGGTCAGTCTCCATAGGATACTCCTCATAGTCAATTGGATTCTCCTTGGCTGAAGCCTGCATTTCCACAGGAGCTCCCAGAATCTGGTCTGGCAGTTCCTGATGGGTTGGAGAAGTTTCACCCTTTTCAGTCAGCTCTGAAGCTATGGTAATTTGCATAAATACAGGTTTAAGTGTAACACTGGGAAGATTATCATGATGATTTTGATCCTGACTTGCAGGTTCATCTGTCTCCTCCTGACTCAATGGAGCTTGAACTATATTCTGGATAGGAGATTCTGAAGCTTGAGCTGGAGACTCCTCTTGGGCTGGAAGTTTGACTTCCTCAGGGAGCTCTGAAGGCCTTGCTGGAGCTTCCATCTGGCTAGCAGGAAGTTCAATTGCTTCAGGAGACACAGAAGTTGGGGCTGGCTGCTCTGACTCATCGGGTAAGCTTTCTGTGCCCACTGGAGGACCAGGAGGCTGAGTTGGGTATCTCTGCTGAGCTAAAGAACGGCCAGTCTCCATAGGATACTCCTCATAGTCAATTGGATTCTCCTTGGCTGAAGCCTGCATTTCCACAGGAGCTCCCAGAATCTGGTCTGGCAGTTCCTGATGGGTTGGAGAAGTTTCACCCTTTTCAGTCAGCTCTGAAGCTATGGTAATTTGCATAAATACAGGTTTAAGTGTAACACTGGGGATGTTATCATGATAATTTTGATCCTGACTTGCAGGTTCATCTGTCTCCTCCTGACTCAATGGAGCTTGAACTATATTCTGGATAGGAGATTCTGAAGCTTGAGCTGGAGACTCTTCTTGGGCTGGAAGTTTGACTTCCTCAGGGAGCTCTGAAGGCCTTGCTGGAGCTTCCATCTGGCTGGCAGAAGATTCAGTCTGCTCAGGAAACTCTGTAGGTTTAACTAGCTCCTCCTGCTCTTTGGGAGAAAGTTTGGTGTACACGGGTGAAGTTTGAGGCTGAGTTGGGTATCTCTGTTGAGCTAAAGAACGATCACTCTCCACAGGAGGCGTGGCATGCCCGGCTGGCTTCTCCTGTTCACTGGCAGAAGGCCCTGTTTGCACTGGGGCTCCCAGAATCTGAACAGGGACTGCATGCTGGTTTAGAGAAGATTTGAACTTACTGGTAGGTTTTGTAGTTATGAGAACTTCCACTTCTGCAGGCTTACCTGCAACACTGGGACTGTCATAATCATGAGTCTGATGTTGTACTGCGGAATGAACCATCACCCCATGTCCTGGCAGACTCTGAGCTTTACTCTGGATGCCAAACTCTGGTATTGCCTCTGAGATTTTCTGCTGGTCTGGAAGTTTGATTTTCTCAGGGTTTTTTTCAGATTGTGTGGGGGTTTCCAAGTATTTTCCAAAAGGTTCAACCCTCCCAGATAAATCAGAATGCTGAATGTGTGGCTTGTACTCATTGAATAAAAAATTAGGGTCCACAGGAGGACCTGGAGACTGAGCTATGGCCTCTTGCTTATCTAAAAGGTTAGCCTGTTTAGGAGACTCAGCATAATGCTCTAGTACCTTCCCTTTACTGGGAGAAGGTTTTCCCTCCATAGTAACTTGCAGAATCTGAGCTAAGATCACTTTCTTGGTTGAAGAAGATTCAACTTTTTTGGTAGTCTCTGAAGTTATGGGAACCCCCATATCTGTAGGCTTAAATGTCACATTGGGAACATGATAATGAGTTTGATCCTGACTTTGAGGCTGAACTTGTGCCTCAAAACCCAGTGGGGTCGGAGCTATTTTCTCCAACAGGGACTTTAGTACTTCAACTTGGCCCGCTGACTGGGTTGAAGATCTCACCAACTCAGGGACCTGTGGGGTCGCATGCAGGGCTCTTGATTGACTTGAGGAAGATTTCATCTCCTCATGGTGCCCTTCAGTATATGCTGTGGTCTGATGCTGGTTTAGAATAGGATGAGCATCCTTACGTCCCTTTGGTGTTACTGTAAGCTCCGTGTCTGCTGGTTTAGCTGTGACACTGGGCAAATCTGAGTGGAGATCTTCCTTTGGACCTTGAGATGGAGCGTTCACTTCATGGTGCACTGATGACTGACCTCCAACTTGAGGAACAACTTGATTCTGAGCTGAAGCCATCCGTTGAGTTAAAGAAAGTTTTGCCTCCTCAGGGGCCTGTTGTTTTTGAGGTGGGGCCTCCTCCTGAGTTGAGGGATAGTATTCCTTTTCAAGGTGCTGTAGATGTTGAGCTGGGGCTTCTTGTTGGAGTGAAAAGGAGTGGCCCTCTAGCTGAAATTGAGATGGTTCCATTTGCTCAGAGGACTCCCGCAGCTCACGTGGGTTCACCTGGAATTCCAGAGGTTTAATGCCAGGATAAACTGTATCCACGCTAGGATGTTCATAATCATCCTGCAGAATTGGCTCTGGACGCTGAGGCTTTGCAGATTGGCCTGGCATCCCAGCAAGCTCAGCAAGTTGCTGATGCTGAGCTAGATCCTTCTTCAACTTCAGAGGTGAAACAATCAACTTGGTTGCCTTTGAGCTCAGACTATCTAGAGTTGGAACAAATGTTTCAAATGACTGATCCACAGCCTGATCTAGACCTGCAGTTTCCATCTTATGCCTGAGTCGAGGAGGCATATCTCCATCTGGCATGTGAACTACATTAGGGAGCCTTTGTTGCCAATGTTGCTTGTCATTCAGATCCTGATACATAACTTCAAGGTGATCTGGTTGTGGGGGCAGCTCTTGAGCAGAATTCGAGTCCAAGAATGGAACCAAACCCTCAGTCAACTCTTTAGGCAGGATCAAAGCTGGTGAGGCAGTAGAAGAGGCCAGGTAATCAAAGGCCCCAGGATCTGCTGGCCCTGTGAGGCCATCGGGTGATCTAGGAGGGTGATCAGAGAAGTGTGAAACCGAGGACTCTGAGAGCCCTGAGGAGTCAAAAGTCAGCTGGACTGGGTCCTGGGTCGTTTGCCAAGGTTTGGTGGCCTGGACCAAACCTTGGCAAAAAAAGGTTTGTGTGGACCACAAAGGTTGCCACACAAAGAGGAGCCATGGGACCCACAGGCACAGCTGGGTCATGGTATATCGGGATTACCGGACACTATGACTTGGGCTGCAGGGGCACCACTGGCATACCCTGAGCAGGAGCCAAAGTGTTATGGAAGCCCCTTGCCAAGCGCACCTTAGCAACGGCATGCCCCGCCCTACTCCGCCCTTTATTTGTGACATTCTTTAATAGGCTGAGAGACCCTCTTACCTCTGTGTCTGGGTAATCCTTTTCCCACAGTTACTGTGGGCCCCAGCCTCAACAGAGGAATCTATTGTCCCAGTTCCCCAAAACTGCACATTCCATACCCAATCACATGATGGGATTCAGGCCACAGACCTTGGTGGTCCTTGGATTCCAACAGCTGTTTAGGGTTGTGGGAAGCAAAGCTTCCCAAGGAAGTAAGTGGGCTTGGCCTCTGTGGGTATCCACAGTGCTGTTGATCTAAAATTCGAAATACCTACCCTCACAGGGCCAGCTAGAGAACACACTTGGTAGGTATTTGTTTCAAAATGTGGCCATTTCCTCCATGCCCTCAATAGTTGTTGTTCCATGTCTGCTAATTAATTCACTCAATTAGGTAGAGGATACCACAGGATAAGTGGTGACTCCAAGAGTCCAAAAGGAGGGGTTTGGATTGGGTCAGTAACTGAATGAGGGAAGAGGGTTTGAGTCCAAATGGAAACCCTTCATGTGTATATTATTTTACCTCTGGGCTGCTCCCAGCGCCATTGCTTTGACACCTCGTCCCCTTGAACAGCAGCACTGAGGATTCAGATCCTCTCTGTATTTTTTGTCCCTTTCTTCTTGGATTGCTTTTGTAATGATCTCTCACTCCCATAGATTTACGGGTCTTCCACCTCTCTTCTCCTCAATATGTGCCCTCAAAGATGCAGACAGCTTCACATCAGGATTCTATAAAAATCACACACTAGGTAGTGCCAAAAGGAATGCACTCTTTCTCCTAGAGGTTGCACAATGGAAAGATATTAAATGCCTACACAGTATTACTCATTTTGGTTGAGATTCCCTAGAAGATCTGGTATCTAGGCTTCACAGGAAAAGGATTAAGACTATCCAAGCAGCAACATTGTACTTCTAATAATCCCCAGTCCCATCCAATAACCTCACTCTTATTAAAGCATATCCAACCTGGAGGGACTTATCTAGAAAACTGGCAGACTTTACCAGAATGGAACAGCCTTCAACACCTCCAGGTTTCTGCATATAGCTTCATGGAATGAGTTTCTAACCCAGAGAGAAAAGGCTATAAAAGCCTGCAGGGTCCTCCTCAACAAAACAGTCTCAAGATTTGAGTTGCCTGGGGCATTTCAGAGTAATAGTTTTCTCCATGTTAGGCAAAATAATGCTCTCAGGCCTAGTTATGACAATATAAATTTCCTGTTTCCTAAACCTTGATCTTCAAAGGGTCAAAAAAGTTCAATGTGTGTGTGTGTGTGTGTGTGTGTGTGTGATCAAACTAATGCAAAATTCTCAAAATTCTTGGCCAAATTCCTCTTTCCAGAACAGACCTTTTCCAATAGAACCTCTTGAACTAAGATCCTTTGAGATGATATATGGAAAACATTTCTTAGTCTCTACCCATTTGATAATCACACTTTACCCAATATCCTTAATGTGGAATTAGTACAAAAGGCTTGCCCAAGAATACAGTGCCCATACACTGCTTACTCCCTCCAAAAATATGGTCTTATTGCAAATTAAACCAGAAGATACATTTTTGTTAGAGAACTGGAAACAGGAAATCAAACTTATGCAGATATTGGGCTTGTTTTTTAAGATTCGTGTATTTTTATTTGAAAGACACAGAGAGAGAGTGAAAGAAAGAGAAAGACTTGCTGTTTCATGACCGAAATTGCCACAATATCCAGAACTGGGCAGTCCGAAGCCACAAGCTGGGACCACCTTCTAGGTCTCCCACATGGGTTTAGAGGACCAAGCACTTGGGCTCTCATTCACTGCTTTCCCAGGAACATTAGCAGAGAGTTGGATCACAGGTAGCAGCCAAGACTTGAACTTGATCCCATTTGGGGGTGCCAGTTCCAAAGTTGGAGGCTTAATCTGATATGCCATGGCACTGGTCCCATCATACAGATGTTTAAACTCCGAAGCCTTGGGGCTGGCACCATGGCAGAGCCAGCTAAGCCTGTGTGGCAGCATCAACTCCTATGGGTAGTTGTTCAAGTCCTGGCTGTTCCACTTTTGATCCATCTCCCTGCCAATGCCATAAGAAAGCAGAGAGCATGGCCAAATGCTTGGGCCTCTGTACTCATGGGGGTGATTGGAATAAGCTCCTGATCCCCAGTATGCCACCCCCCCCCCCAAGGGTTAACTCCACAGCTCAGCTTTTCAAGGTATAACAACAGGAAGGGCAATCTTGGCCTGATACATTTAGCCCCTGGCTTGACTGCAATTTCTCTCCTTCCTGCTTCCCCTTTTAGCATGCCCTCAGGGGAGCTTAGGTGTTCCTTAAGCATTGGGAAAGTGCTGGGAGGAGCCAAGCAGACTATATAAAAGCAGTTCGCCTTTGATTAAAGCACCTTCACTTCACAAGAATGAGCCACTGTGTGTTGTTGTCTGTCTTGTCTGTCTCATAACCCTAGTCCCTCCACTGGGCTCGGGGTACGTGGCGACGCGGGCGTTGCCAACAATCCCCGGCTTTAGACCAGGCAAGTCTGCCCATTGTGGCCAACTAGAGAGGAAACCAGTGGATGAAAAATATTCTCTTTCTCACTCTAACAGCCTTTCAAATAAAAAAAAAACTATTTTTAAAAAGAAAAGTCTGAATGGCTGGCACTCTGGCTTGGTAGTCTAAGCTTCCAACTATAGTGCCAGCATTACAATTGGGCTCCAGTTCTTTTTTTTTTTATTTTTTTTTTAAAGATTTATTTTTATTATTTTTTTCATTGGAAAGGCGGATATACAGAGAGGAGAGACAGAGAGGAAGATCTTCCGTCCGATGATTCACTCCCCAAGTGAGCACAACGGGCCGATACTATGCCGATCCGAAGCCAGGAGCCTCTTCCGGGTCTCCCACGCGGGTGCAGGTTCCCAAAGCTTTGGGCCGTGCTTGACTGCTTTCCCAGGCCACAGGCAGGGAGCTGGAAGGGAAGCGGGGCTGCCGGGATTAGAACCGGCGCCCATATGGGATCCCGGGCATGCAAAGCAAGGACCTTTAACCACTTGCGCCACCGCGCCAGGCCCGGGCTCCAGTTCTTAACACAGCTACTCCATTTCCCATCCAACTCTCTGCTCATGGCCTGGGAAGGCAGCAGAGGATGGCCCAGCCCAAGTGGGAAACCTGGAGAAAACTCTGTTCCTGACTTCAGATCACCTTAGCTCCTGCTGTTGTGGCCATTTGGGGAGTGAATCAGTAATGGAAGACCTTTCTCTTTGTTGCTCCCTCTATCTGTAACTCTGCCTTTCAAATACAAATAAAATACATTTAAAAAAAAAAAAAAGCCTTAAACCTTTGGCATCTAAAGGTTGAGGGGTTAGTGGTGGAGACTTGATCTAATTATGGCATCTGAGAGGTGGTTCTTGTGAGAGGTCTCTAGGTCCTTGGAGGCTGACCCTCAGAAGTTAACTCTTGAAAGAGGTTGGTTATTTAAGCTGAGTTCTACCCAAGTTCTCTCTCTGCTTCCTAGCTCATCATGTGATCAACCCCTAGGCATCCTATTAGAAACTGCCAGTCTCCCTCAGACACCAGACTAATGAGGCCACTAGTGAACCTCCAAACTATAGCCAGAAATTCACCACTTCGCTTCCAGCAAGCTCCGTTCAGGTATTTTAGTCAAGGTAATAAATGCCTGACAAGCCAGAAACTCTCCAGAAGATCAAATTCAAACAGTACAAATAGATCAGACATTCAGAATTCCGTAGCGATTTATTCGCCAGCACTAGTGTTGAAGTACATAAGGGAACCACACCTTACTCTTTGCTCACTCTTAGAATTCAGGATATCAAGTGGCATGTACAGAGCACTGATGGTCTGTTGATTGAGTGAATGAATGAAGGAATGAAGAAACAAACAAAAAAAAATGTCAAATTCCTTTCCCAAATGAAGTTGCCTGTTGGGAAGGAGAAACGAATGTTAACCTAGTTGTTAAAGGTTGATTGTAAGTCAGGGGAAACATTACTGGACACCCAGGATATATAGATGCTCTTACCTTGGATAACTTGGCCAGTTCTTTCAGCTACCGTTTTCGTTATGACACTGAAAAAAAAAACCAAAAAGATATTCTAGGTGCTTTAAGCCTCTTCATGGTTTTAACACATTCTCTTTTCTGTGTTTATAAAGGACACACAGAGAGGAGGAACACATGTTTTTGCCAAATACAAAGCAACATGTGCAATTAAACCATATAACAGTGTGGGGGAAGGGGAGAAGGATAATCACCAACGGAAGTTTGTCAAGTAAACAAATAAATCTACTATGAATGTCCCCTCCTCTCAAGGACAGAGTCACTGTTTGAGCATCTCCCTCATCACCCTATCAGGGAGAGGCCTTATACTGAGAAAATCTCAAAGCCAAAAGCGATGGAAATGCTTGCAGTGTCCAGGGAACACTGATACTCATGACCCACAAACTGATGCCAACTATTCTGGACTGCTTCTAGTACCATCTGTAATGTGTCAGTGGCAATAGAAAATGGGTACAAATTAGCTTGCCAAGCTCACACAGTTGAAATACACAAGTAGAACTTTTCTGATGAAGATGTCTGAAAGCATCAGATAAGGTGACCTGGGCTTTATTTCGCATCTATAAGCTTGGGCTTGACCTCTAGCTCCCACAGTTATTGTCATGAACCTTAAGCAGGTCACCTCATCACCCTGAATTTAAATTTGTTCACCTGACAAAACAGGAGGCTCAGCGCAACAATGCATCCTAAAGCCTCCTGCACGCCAGAGGCCAGACAAGCACTGGAGCATCACTGATCCACCAGAACATGATCCCATGGAGCTAGGAACCCCTGTTGGGACCCACCTTCCCGAGAGCCTCGTGCCCTCCACAGGCGTCCTTTGGGGAATAAATTTGATGATGGCACAGAAGACAGGATCAGCCATGGTGGTGCTGAGCAAGATCCAGTCTGAATTTAGAAGGCGGAAGCAGGAGAATGTTACAAAAAGAGAGCGCTGTGGACAACCCCACGGCCAAATAAGCCTCAGTAGGAAACATACCTTCCCTCCTGTCCCCCAGCCCTTCTCCACCCAGGTGCCACTAAAAGCCTTCTCATTTCAGGAGCAAGCATTCTCCTCACAGCCCTAGAACACACCACCCGCTGAGCTGTGGAGAGGAGCCTCCCCGGGTCTCTGCAGGGGCAAGGCCACAGCCACGGACCCTCGCAATTGACCTCTCCACAGAGGCAGGGCCAGTCGGCAAGTCGCAGGTGGACAGCTGTCTCCACCACTCCCCATACCGGTCTAGCTCGCAGCCACGCAAGTCTCCAACCATGAGTCCGTTCTCAGGGATGTTCTCCTGTTTGCACCAGAAGGAATTCAGACGTGAGGAGCACAGGGTAAGCATACTAGCCAAGGGCACGGTGGTGTGGCCTAGTGGCTACAGTCCTCGCCTTGAACGCCACCGGGATCCCATATGGTCGCTGGTTCTAATCCTGGCAGCTCCACTTCCCATCCTGCTCCCTGTTTGTGGCCTGGGAAAGCAGTCGAGGACGGCCCAAAGCTTTGGGACCCTGCACCTGCAGGGGAGACATAAATCTTTAAAAAAAAAAAAAAAGCATACTAGCCGAGATCAAGGCCGGGAAGCACACCCTGGGGACCTGGCTGACAGCTCAGTAAAGGCCTGAGAACATATCCCCCACTTTTCCTCCCTCTCCTGGGAAGTTGTGTGTGGGAGTTTTCCGGATGTAAAAGTTCCCTCAAATCCTCCCAGGACCGAATGGCACCTTGGTACAAGGCAGGTCCTGTGTGGCCTTGAGCTGCCCCCAGGAACAGAGCCAAACCCACCTCACAGGCATCCAGAACAGGGGCCATGACTTCCGCTGTGCTTCGGGGGCTGTTTCCTCACCTCACTGCATGAAAATTCATTTCTTCCGCTTTTCTGTTGCCAGTCTTGGACGCACAGGCAGTCAGTGTCTACCTAGCCACCTTTAACAGGCCCACAGCTCGGCTGCCACACGTGTCAGTCCACTCTGAGGGAACCGCGAGAAGGTGCCCAGCCGCGATGCGCTCCTGGTGGTACTGCGCCTGCGCCACACAGGCTCCGGCTTTACTGCGCCTGCGCAGGCTGCCCGCGGGCGTCTAAGAGCCTGCGCAGTGTTTGAGGGAAAAGACTAGGAGAAGGCTGGCGAAGGCTCTGTGGTCCCTCTTGCCTTCCTACCTCAGAGTTTAGTGTTTCTGTTCAAGGGTGTGTTTGGGATGGAAGAAATCAGAGGCACCTGGGGCTGCTGGCTTGCTCTTCAGGCCTGAGGGCGCCAGGCTCCCCCACCACAGGCCTGGAGGTGACAAGGCCTGAGGAGTTTCCCACCTGCACCTCACAGCGTGAGTCCATGGGCCACCAACAGTCCAGGATGAAGTCCCTAAGAATCCCCCAATTGTCCTGGGAGATTCTGTGAGAGGGGTGTGTGTGTTTATGGGGGGCTGGATGCTGGGGCCTGGAGTCCTTTGAGGAGAGATTAGGAGGGGAAATCAGGTTGGCTCTACACAGGGTCACTGTCCCTGGAGCTGTTGCTGGTGACAAGGGGTCCCCAGGGTGGGGTTACGCTGAGGGATAAGGTGAGCCCTAGGGGCAGGAGGCACCTGCTGAACAGTCCCCTGTGGTTCCTTCATGGTAATGCTCAGATCCTGCTGCTCTGTCCTGACTCAGGTGTCCTCAGGTCATTCGTTCGTTTCTTACTTTATAAAATACAGTTTTCTATATCATTCTCCTACTGGTCCAACCTCCCTAAGACTTTGATCCTAAAAATAATTCACTTTATGGAGACAGTTTGATAGTGGACAGTCACTTTAAAATATTTATTTCACATTAAAATAAACATTGAAAATCTCAGATTTTTTTCTAGACAAGACCTCTTTTATGACGGCTTTAGGCCAACAAAAGCACAATTTTTAAAAATTTATTTGAAAGGCTGAGTGAGAGAGAGAGAGACATCTTCCATGTGTTGGTTCATTGCCCCCAATACATGCAACCAAATAGCTGGAACTGGGCCTAGCTAAAGCCAGGAGCCTGGAACTTCCTCTTGGTCTTCCACATCTATGGCAGGAGCCCAAGTACTTGGGCATTCATGGGCTGCTTTTCCAGGCACATTAGCAGGGAACTGGATCAAAAATGGAGCACTTAAGACTTGAACCAGTACTCTTAAAGGAAATGCTGGCATTTCAAGCAGAAGCTTAACCTGCACCACAGTGCTGGCTCCCAGATTATTTTTTTTTAAGCTTTGTTTGTTTTTATTGGAAAGGTAGATTTATAGAGAGAAGGTGAAATATATAGAGAAAGATCTTCCATTCACTGGTGCACTCCCCAAATGGCTGCAGTGACCAGAGCTGAGTCAATGCGATCTCAAGCCAGGAGCCAGGAGCTTCTTCTGGGTCTCCCACAATGGTGCACAGACCCAAGGACTTGAGCCTCCCCCCACTGTTTTCCCAGGCCACAAACAGGGAGCTGGATCCAAAGTGGCATAGCCAGGATGGGAACTGGTGCCTATATGGGATGCTGACCCTGCAGGCAGAGGCTTAGCCTACTGCATTACAGCACCAGCCAAAGGAAAACATTTTTAAATCTGTAACCGGGTGTTTGTTGCAGATTCCCTGGAAACCTTTGGTGAATATGCAAGGAATGAATGATTTTACTCATAGAAGTGAATGGAAAGAGGACTAGGCAACAGGGATGAAAAAGACTTTTCTCTGTGTGTTTTAGATGTTAGTTAACTGTAACAAGGAGGATCTACTCGGTCATATTGAAGAACAGCAGTAGAAGAAGAAGGCTCTGCTGCAAGCGGCCGTCTGTATTCGCTGGTCTGTGGCATGTGCTGGCTGGTCCCCCTTCCCCAGCAGCTACTCTAGGCATCATTCAGGGTGTGTGTCATCCAGGAGGTCTTCCTGTGAGTCACACCTGCGTGCCATGACTCACTGCCTTGGCTGGGAGTTGCAAATATGCTGTGAACTCATTTCTGCAGATAAGAATGCTCTGAGTCCCCAGAGACGAAATGGCCTTCTAAAGGCCACCCAGGGGCAGAGCAGGAGCTTGCTGTCTCAGAGCCCTTCTTAATTCTTCCCCCTGGTATGCCCCCACTTCCTTCATCATAGCTCCTAGCAACTCCAACCTCTGAAGAAAACAGGAAGTCTCCTTTGACCTTCTCTATACCCTCCTGCTGTTCAGTGACAGACCTGCTGTAAGAAGGAAGGGAGGAGGAGAGGAAGTGAGGGTAGGGCAGTCAGGGGAGGCAGAGATGGTTACTGCAGGAGTGACTAATGCTGTTTGCTTCTGTTTGCAGCCCAGGAGATGTTGGCTCCATTTTGCGTTGTGGAAACAGCCTGGAGACGGCCACAGTGACGGCCTGTGCACTTCTGTGTAGGAGCTGGGTCTTAAGCAGGTCTGAGGATGCTGGCTCTTGGCCACTACCTGCGCTACTCCCTAGGCTGTGGTTTGGCAGCTCCAGAATCAAGCCCTTTCCTGTCTTGGACCTTGAACCTGCGGAACTGTGGCAGTGCTCAGCCAGGACCTCAAAGTCCAAAATAGGAAGACTTGCAAGAACTTTCTGGTTCTCAGAAACATTTGGCAAAACCCAGTCCTTACAGACCCTTGGGCATTTTTCCTTTAAAAAGGTGAAGTTATGAATGTTGGGATGATGGAAAAACCCAAATCCTTGATCAACATTTAAAGTTCTCTTTATTAGAGTTAGAGATACATCTTTTTCTTCTTGGAGGAAGCGGTGACAATGTAGTAGAAACTGAGTTTCTGTAGAAGCAGGTATCTTTAGAACAGTTTCAAGAACACAGAATGTTCTAGAAATAAAGTATACTGAAACAAACCTTGACCAAAAGGTCTTGTCAGATGGCAGCTGCAAACCAAACCGAGTCAGTTTTATGATGAAACGCTGTGGAAACACTTGGACTGCTTTGAGTTTCTTTCCTGCACCCTCTGTAACTTCCTTTTGAAAACTGAGACTCCATTTTGTGCTGCTTTACAGTAGTGAATTGCTTACAGAAAAGACGTCAAATGTCTGCTGAAACCTCGTGTTACCTGTGTGCTAATGACCCCCTTTCCCCAAAGCTTGGTAGCAGAGTTGTTTCTCATCAGCATTCGTCCTTGTTTGCTGACATTTTATTTGTATTTTTAGTTCTTTTTTTGGGACATGATTCCTGTAATAGCATACTCATCCACAGGGTGCAGAGATCTTTAGTAGTTCCCTGTGGCTTTGGGCTGGTAGTAATAACTTATTTATTTATTTTCTTGCTTTACAGAAGATGTCATTGCACATGAATTAATAGTCTTTTAAGTATTTTATGTTGAAGTTCTAAAATGTTCATGACTATTGTATTCTATCAAATGGGTGGGGCATGCTTTTTAAACTTCATACTTTCCCAATATAGGAGCCCTTTGCTGATCAAAGGGGCAGACGAGGCTGTGATCTGTGCTGGGTGCGACCATGTGCCCTGGCCTGGTTCCAGGTCCCACTCTGGAAAGAGGGGCTGGGGGCAAAGGGCAGGGCCATGAGGGGCTATGTGTCAGACACTGAGGAAAACACTGTGTTGCTTTAGGGCCTTACAAGCAGCTGGAATCAAGAGGTGCAGGGACTAGGAAGGAGACCTCCCCGGTAGCCAAAAGAGGCCACACCCAACACAGTCAGAGATACCTGCACACCGTGCACTCTCCGGGGTACTGTTTATTTATTTATTTTTTAAAGAAAATGTGTGCATCTCTTGGATTTTACCTTTGTTCTCTGTAACTAACCAAGCAACTCTCTTTTGTGCCTTCCCAGGGAAACAATTCATTTCCCACATTTGTTGCTAGTAAGACATTCTGGTTTCATTCTGTTCCTTGCAGTAAGGTTAAAGAAAGAAAAGGGTAGCAGATGTCCATGTCATCAGGCAAAAGGTATGTTGTTTCTCTGGAGGCCATCCTGTCTCTCCCTCTCTCAGCTCTTTGGCTTTGGATGTTTCTGGGGGAAAAATGTGTGCCTACATAGATCATTCACTGCTGTCTTTCAGGATCCAGCTCATTACAAACCTGCCCATCATGGTGGAATCACAAGGAATATGATCTCCACACTGCCTGTGGAGTTGAATTGTCAGGTCTCTGCCAGCACTAGGTGGCAGGACACTTGCTGTCTGTGGCCAGTAGATGACACCCAAGGACAGGTCTCCTAAGAACAGGGAGGGTCAACTAGGGGCACCAGCGTAGTAAACACTCCTGCTCCCAGCTCTTCAACTGGGCTCAAGTGAGGCAAGGTTGAAGTACAGGCCAAAGAAGGCCAAGGGTCCTGGTTCTTTAAACAACTCAGTTCTTCCATTGGTCCAGGGTGTTTTCTGAATCATGAAAATTGACTAACTTTTCTCATGCAAAACGTAACCCATAGAGATGTGCAATCTCTCACTGAACAGAGGAGGTGGTCTAAGGGACTGGCAGTCTGGAACCCACAGGAACATGGGTGGGTGTGTCCTGCACCAGCTTTTTCATAACCGTATGTTTAAGCATGCCCATAAGCTTTGCCAATTGCTTCCATTTGTCATGTTCAGAGTCAGTGTTTTACATTTATTTTTTCCCTAAGTCCTTTGAGGGGGCTTTGGGTTTGGCAAGAGGGCTCTGTAGTGTTAAAGCTCAATTGTGGGATCCCAGCTGCCTCGCATTCAGGAAGTGAACCAACAGGTAGAAAATCTCTGTTTCTCTCTCTTTCTTTGTCATTGCTTTTCAAATAAAAATAATTAATCTTCTTAAAAAGTTGGGATGAATGAGACCTGCAGCTAAGAGAGGGAAAGGAAAACCTCAAGGGAAATTTTCCTGAGATGGGGAAGGCTTGGAAAGCCAGGAAGGGCCCAGGCCTGGCAGGAGTGGAGCTGAGGTCATGGGGAGCAGGGAGGACAGACAGGATCAACAGCAATGCAACTCACAATCCCCTACTCTCCGCGCACACATACATGATAAAAGAACTTT